AAGCCCATCAAAGGTGACCAGGGCTTACGGAGGAATAGGCCCAGATCCAGCAATCAGTAAATATCTTGTAAATATCTTGTAAATATCTATAAATAGGATATGGAATGGAAAGGAGAGGGATCTTTTTGGGTTGAGGTGTAAGAATTCTAGAGAGAGAAAGAGGAGAAGGAATTTCTTGCATCTTCAGTGGATGATATGTAATATGGTATTAAATATATTTTGTATTCTTTTAATGGCACTTATACAAAAATAAAGATGATACCATGGGTATTTATTCATAGTCTCACATTCAAAAAAAAAATTTTGGATAAAGATTATAATTTCTTAATAAAAATAACTCTAAAATAGAAATCCAAGAATATGAGCAGTAATTCCTAACAAATAGTGGGAGCAACCTGAACCTTTAAGGTAATCGGCATTGATTAAGACTTTTTTGACATAGAACTTAGTTATTTATTTCTTAATTTTCACTACTCACATCTATACGAGTTTTTGCAATTCATTCTCCAATTCAATATTCTTATGAGTGTGACCTAAATGTATCCGTCCAACACAAACCTTTTTATCTTAGCAATTTGTTATCTTTAAAGGGAGCTTAAGCTACTTGTCGAAATTTTGGTGGCCCTAAAAGATTTTCGCAGGATTTTAGATTCGAGAGTTGTCACTGGAGGTTTTAGTGGACCTAAAAGAGATATTCAAGATTTTAATGGACGGAAAAAGTCTCTGGAATTTTGCATTCAAGAGTTATTCTTTGAGATTTCAGAGAGAATCTCAAAGTTTAGAGTGTCCCAAGGGAGAGTGTCCCAAGGGTTTTGGGATCGAGGGTTTTTCCTCAAGGTTTTAGTTGATTTGACAGAGTGTCTCGGAAGTTTAAGTGAGGTGGAAGGTTTTCGTTTTTTTTTTAGGTAAATTAGTTTTGACCAGATTGATGTAACCAGTAGTGTTTGGCTATTAGACTGACGTGGCAGTCATTATTTTGACTTTGAAAATGACACATAAGCACCGTGTATACAACAACCACAAATATGTTGCAATTAATAGGAGGATTACGCGTCTAGATATGTGCTTTATATATGCATATACATATTTCCAATCGTATCATACCAACCACGATAATCAATTATTTTAGCTTTTTGAAAATAAAAAACATTAAGCTTTATATAATTATATACGCATATACATTTTTCTTTTATACTCTGAAAGTTATCATATTATATTTATACATTACATACATACGCGTCTATATATGTGCTTTATATAAGCATATACATTTTTCTAATCGTATCATACCAACCACGACAATCAATTATTTAAGCTTTATATATTCATATACATTTTTCTTTTTGTTCTATATATAAAAAGATTGAATAGATAGAAAATATATACAGGTGTACCAAGGAAGGTGCAAATAACCACTGGTGGGCAACAACCATTAATACAACCCTATATAACCAAACAAAACCACGGCTAATATATCAACAAAATAGACACATACGTCTACGTATTAACAGAACCTAAGCACCCTCTGATCCTCAACCCAATGACTTTGTTGAGATTTTTTTTTTCTTTTTTCTCTGTTATTTTCTACTTTTCCATCAATTAGGTATATGTGAATTGAGCCACATCATTATCTTGTAATAAAGAGGTGACGTGATGAATCTGAACCAAAAAATTAAATATTATAGAATTGAGGAAAGAGATTTGAATAGAGAGAATCTTTGTTCGATAATTGGTCGCCCACCAAATTATATAATAAATAAAATACTTATTAAAAAAATAATAAATAAAATAAATATAAATTGAGGCTATATTTATTGGTACCTACAAATTTAGTTAGACACCCTTTTGAAGAATTTTTTTTAATTTTTATTTTTTGTAAATTATATATATATATTTTGAATACATACCTTCAATTATTTTTTATTATTATTATTTTTTGAAGGCAAATGAATGGCACTAAATTTAAAACTTTTGGTAAATATCATTCATTTTTGAGCATTAACAAATCAAATTAAGGATTTTGTGTCTGAGTGATATTTCTTCCACCTCTCAAATTGAATGGTGAGGACGAAAAAGAAATGTAATTTATAAAATTTAAATTTATGATAAAAATAAATTAATATATAACACTAGCTAGTTTAAAATATTCTTTCCATATTAATAGTTTAAAATATTTTCAGGCCTACTATTAAACCTGGCCTAGCATCTGTACTATGTTTGATAGAGAACAAGGTAGGATTATTATCGATGATTAAAGGACTGCCCAAAAATATGAACTTCAGAATCTCTAAAGGAAAAAACTCTAAGAATATATTTACGTCATAGCAAGTGACCTTGAAAATTTACCACAAAAAAAAAAAAAAAAAAAAAAAAAAATTCTCGTAATCAAGAAATTAAATGGTCCACCAAAATTCAACAATAAGCTGAGTTCAACTTATAATGCATTTGAGTTAAATTAATATATAATGGGCATTGCAGCTCGGGAGTTGAGGCTCTATCAATTTGGCAAGTGAATAATATATTTGGCTTTCTCAATTAAGCATTTTTTTTTTTAACAAAAAATAAAGGAGTAAATTGAGAAGGATAAAAGTTAGGTTGAACGACATAAATAGTCTTTTATTTTTATTTATTTTTTCAGATTCTAACAGTGAAATATCCCATTTTGTAAGTGGAACGGTGAAAATTAATTTTTATTTCAAAAGTTGATTAGATTTGAATGAAATCTGAAATTATAAAAACTTTACCATTGCAAAAAACAGAATCCATTCATCCTAAAATAAAATACCCATTTCATATAACTAGGGGCGGGACCTCACTTTGATTGAGCTTTAAAAAAAAAAAAAAAAAAAAAAACCTATTTATTCCTCTGTTTGGCAATCATATCATCATTAAACTATTAGGAATTTGTGCTTAAACTGATCCAAACTCCTCGCTTAACCTTACCATAACACCACCAATCCGAATTCAGGGAGAGCACTTTAAAATTTTAACTTATTCAAATAGATTTAGTTGCTTGCTTACTAATCAAGACAGCATTTCCTTATTTTTAAACTCTATAATAAATTTTCAAAATATCCAACTATTAATTTAATAAAATTATTTATATAATTTTAAAATTTTCACACTTATGTCCTCCTTGTTCTCATTCTAAATGGATATCTTAAATTAGTTTGGAATTAATTAATTAATTAATTATTATTATTATTATTTTTTTTTCAAAATAGTGCATAGGAACACATTACAAATCCTAACCTTGGAAGTAGGGTGAAGCTGTGGCTAGTAAAGAATTCAGAACCCGTTCATTGTCATCCTTTTTTAGGCTTAAACCAATCAAATAAGACATGACTGAATATAATTTTTATTCACTTTAAGTAAAAATAATAATAATAAATGTTGTCTCTCTCAAATATTTCACTTTCAGTAGACTGTCCTTAATTGAGGAAAGGGAAAAAATTCATTAATCCTACCTATCGTAATCCTAATTAAGGTACACCATTCAAATCAATTTATATTAGATGTGTTATTGTATTTATATATATAAATATATACCACAAACATTGCAATAATTAAATTGTTGGTTGCTTTCTAAAACAAACATAGAATGTCTTGTACGTCTATGAATTAATGGATTAATTAACAACAATTTTTATTTATTTATTTATTTATTTTTATTTTTTATTTTTAACCTAACCCAAACTAAGGAACCTTCATTTCTAACATGGCGTGACTTGTGATTGGTTCACAACCTTTCCTCTCTTTTTCCTTCATCCCCAAGTGTTACTTTTAATATTCTCTAATAATTTTAATGTCATTTTCAAGAACACAAATTATTGAAGGGTTTAGGAAAAATATCAATGACTTATTATAATTTACACCCTCCACTCAACCCTGTATGCATTTACATATACCCAACTTTTTGGTTCAGAATAATATAAAATTAATTTTTTAATTAAAATCTCTATTATGGTGACGTGTCGGCTCCTTAATAATCCAAACCGTTTAATGTTTGTTTTATTCCAGTCATTTAAATTCTCCAAGAGTGATGATAATTTGCCACGGCAGTCCATCATCAACAATGTGAATCCAATGCGGGTTATCCATTTTAATTAGCTAGAGAAGAATCACAACCGTTTACTTAATATGGGTGTCACTTGAAATGAACAGTGGGATGATTGAGTTTTGTTGACGAGGTCTATTAGCAATGATATGGGTGAACCGTATTGTAAATTTCTTCCCAAAATACTATAATGTTGGCTTACTGTTACTGATGAGGTTGGTTGACAGTCACAAAATAGAGTCCAATCCAGTGGAGTAAAAGTAGGCTATCGTGGTCATCTTTTTAGGATGGTCCAGAGAATAGAGAATCTTAGTCGTTCATAATAGATCACGATAATGATGATCATGATCTGAAAAGCCGAAAGCCGCTTTTGCAGGGGTCATTAAAGAAAAATATATATATATATATATATTAACGGTCAGGAAATTCAGAAAATCGGCTAGCTGGCTGACCAGAGGTTACCAATTTCAGCCACGTTGCCACATTCTAGCTTCCGTTATAATATAGTAAGTGGAAACACATAAGAAGTTAGAACACAAAATACATACCATCATCAACATTATGCATAGGCATATTATGGTTCACACATACATTACCATGCACCAAACATCAAAACCGGTTTTTTATTTTATTTATATGGTAACAAACGTCGCATGGCATGATGACAGATGATCCGCATGAGAAATACATCATGACATGCGCATGAAGATGTCACTGTAGATGATGGTTTTGGTGATATATATATATATATATATATATATATGTATATGTATATACCTGTGGAGAGATATATGGAAAGTGTAAGTAATGATTAGAAATGGGGTCATGATGGCAACGCCTCCCTTCCGTAGAAATAAATGATTAAGATGAAGAGAGGGTGCAAGACTGCGCAGCCATAGCCGCCATTTCTTCTCCTTCCTTTTTTGTGATGATTACTAATTATTTTTATTATAATTGGTCCTAGAGAGAGAAAGTCTCCCATTTATAGAGTTAAATTTCAAGAATCGTGGTGTAAAGAGAGAGACTGAAAAGGCACCGAATTAAATAAAAAGGGGATTTTGGAGAGAGAGAATCCAGAGAGTTGAAAAATTAAAAAAATAAATAGATAGGGAAAGAGAGAGAGAGAGAGAGTACTGAGGGGGGGAGCCCCAAAAAATCAAGTATTTAAAGGGGCACCATGATAACACTACTTCAATCTCTGCAATGATGAACTACTCACTATCCTAACGATCCTTTTTGGTCTAGTTTCTCAAACTTGGAAAATTTTGATTTCTTTGCTTCAAATACACGTTTTATATCTATTTATATATTATTTGCGGCCGATTTAACCCTTCCATCCTCTTCCTCTGCTATATATATTAAACACCCAGTCTCTGCTCCAAAACTGTCTACCATAGCAAACTAGTTTCAATCGTATATTGCTGTAATAGTTATATATCAATATATATAGAGAGAGAGTGGAAGAAGATGGTGGAGGAGGGTGTGGCAGTGGTGTTGGTTAGAGAGTTTGATCATGAACAGGATAGCAGAGGGGTGGAAGATGTAGAGAGAAGGTGTGAGGTTGGGCCCAGCGGCAAGCTGTCTCTCTTCACTGACCTTTTGGGTGACCCAATTTGCAGGGTCCGACACTCACCGGCCTATCTCATGCTGGTATATATATATATATATATATATATATATAACACTACTCTCTCTTCTTAATAATCGTTCTTTCTTTCTGTATATTATAGATGGTGGGCTATTTGTGTTTTTTCTTCTGCTTAACCACCAATATACTAATATATATATGTATGTATAAATGTTGATACAGGTAGCTGAGTTGGTGGTGGGTAATGGAGATAAAGAGGAGAGAGAAATAGTGGGGATGATAAGAGGTTGCATCAAAACCGTTACGTGTGGCAAGAAGCTCTCCAGAAATGGAAAGAACGGCCACCATCTCACCAAACCCCTCCCTGTCTACACTAAACTCGCCTATATCTTAGGCCTTCGCGTCTCTCCTTCTCATCGGTATTTTATTCTCACCTACATATACATGTATGATATATATATATATATATATACCTACACATAGATATAGTTATATGTATAGCTTTCTCATGGGTATTATTTTACACACACCCAATGATCAAAATTTTACCCAAAATGGATAAATGAGTAGACCCATTCAAAAAGATTTTCTAATTATTCAGCTTTTTAATCATTTACACTATTTTATTCACATAAATTATAATATTGTATATATGCATATATTATATATGTATAGTATATGGATGATAATGGGTTTGCAATGACAATATTGCAGGCGAATGGGAATAGGGTTGAAGCTGGTGTGTCGAATGGAGGAGTGGTTCAGAGAAAATGGTGTCGAGTATTCGTACATAGCCACGGAAAACGACAACCAACCTTCCGTTAATCTCTTCACGGACAAATGTTCTTATTCCAAATTCCGTACACCCTCAATCCTGGTCCAGCCCGTGTTTGCTCACCGAGTCCGAGTCTCCAAACGAGTCGCCGTCATCAAACTCACCCCCTTCGATGCCGAGTTCCTCTACCGACACCGCTTCTCCACCACCGAGTTCTTTCCCCGAGACATTGACTCAATCTTGAACAACAAACTCAACTTGGGTACATTTGTGGCCGTTCCACACGGCACGTACTCGGCCGAGTCATGGCCTGGCTCGGCCAAATTCCTGGCGAACCCGCCCGAGTCGTGGGCTGTACTCAGCGTTTGGAACTGCAAGGACGTGTTCAGTCTCGAGGTCCGGGGCGCGTCGCGAGTGAGGAAGGGTTTTGCGAAGACGACTCGGTTGGTGGACCGGGCCTTGCCGTGGCTGCAATTGCCGTCTGTGCCTGAGGTGTTTAGGCCCTTTGGGCTTCACTTCTTGTATGGGCTTGGCGGCGAAGGCCCATTGTCTGTGAAGCTCGTGAAGGCCCTGTGTGGCTTCGCCCATAACTTGGCGAAAGAGTGCGGTTGTGGGGTGGTGGCGACGGAGGTGTCGAGCAGCGAGCCGCTCAGGTTAGGGATCCCACACTGGAAGATGCTATCGTGCGCGGAGGATCTATGGTGCATCAAGAGACTTGGGGAGGACTACAGTGACGGGTCTGTCGGTGACTGGACAAAGTCACCACCTGGACTGTCAATCTTTGTTGATCCCAGAGAGTTCTAATATCCGATTCCGATATGGATCTGTTTGCCTAAAAAAAAGAATCTAATCCGGAAGTTGATTAAAAAAAGCATAGAAAAGACAAGGAAAAAGTTATATCCCTTTTATGTTTTTCGGGTTTAACTTTTGCTCGATTAGGGTTTAACGATTTTGAGTAGAAGTGGAGAAGATATGGGTTTTTTATTTTATTTTTTTAAATTTCATTTTGGGTGGTGTTATCAAGGGAATATCCCTACTTTTACTTTATTTTTGTAAATGCATATATGGCTTTTTAGATCCTCTTGCAGCCAAACGGAGGCCTTGTTTTTTCCATGTGGGGTTGGGTCATCTTTATTTGTTTTTTATTTTTTTATTTTTATTTTTTTTTCATCAAAGTGTCTCAAAACTGTTCTGATAGGGATTATACATGTTTGTGTGTGTACCACCCGAATATCCCCTGTTAAAAAGTTGTGTTTGTGCGTTGATGCACCTTCATCAGTCACCAAAAAACATGGTCCTCTTGATGATATTGAAGGTAAAATGGCGTGGGATATGATATTAATATCTACCTCTCTCTCTCTCTCTCTATATATATATATAGACACACCAAGTAAAAGCACATATAATGTGGGATATGATATGATTGTTTCAGGGGCTTATATTGGTGGTGCCGACGGATTCTTTTATTGGGATGCTTTGTTACTTTATGTGAATTGGTGGGTCAATGAGATTTGGTTTCTAGCTGCTGTGTGCTTGCAGTATATAATACTCCATTAACTATTATATATATATATATATATATATATATATAGATATAGAGAAGGGTTTATTATTCCGATTCGTGGTCTTTGCCTCATTATTAAAAAGAACCTTTTCGTTTCCCCGGCCTTTGGTGGTTTTAATTTGGACTTTGAAGTAAATGTCTTTTTTTTTCTTTTTTCCCACCGACTTTGAAGTAAATGTTGAATTAGCTGATACTGGTCTCGCTTCATATGAGGCATTTGCTGGACTTTTAAAAAGTTATGTCACGTGAGACAAATTATTGTAAAAGTTACTCCTATATTGTATCATTTATATTAACCACAAATTTCACCAACGCATTTTGGTAAATATAAAAGGTAAAATAAGACATTTTTGATGACTCAAAAAAGCATTTTGGCTCATTTTTGTGGAATTGACATTTATAGCCAAAAACAGTAATTTGAAGAGTTAAAAGACACGAAATAAGGTAGGTGCAACACGTAGAAGGGACTGCCTGATGAATGTAATTAAACACCAGTTATGGACCTTGCCTAAGTCCTCACGGGAATCTTCTCCACCTATCTTCCCTTCCAAGTATTTGATTTTCTTTTACAAAAATTTCTTATATATATATATATATATAGAGAGAGAGAGAGAGAGAGAGAGAGATGGGGAGAGCACCTCATGATCTTCTCGGGGGCTAGGCTAAGATCATATGAATCTTGAAGGGAAAAGTAAGATGGTTGAGGTGACAAAAAGATGTGACTCTGAACTGTCCAATATTGGAGGTATCCTAATCCTTAAAGCATGTGGACATAAATCACACTCCAACATGTTCATTGAAGTCCTAATTGATTCCAATTATTAAAATGTTCATTTGTTATTCATTTTTTAGAACAACTTCCAAATATATATATATATATACCAAAATGTGTAATTTTTATGATAAGATAAGTAATTCTTAAATATTAAATAAATACTAAATGTTAGTTTTAAAATATCTCTTTTATCTCTCAAAAGAAATAGTCAAAGTTCACGTCTCATAACAAATAAAATAATGCGTAAGTTACTTTTATTAAATCAAATGCTTATAATTAGGAGTGGTAAATTACAACACGAGTTAAAAGGGTTTGGATTTGACATAAATGAATTTGGGTTTGGTATAAACGGATTTAAGTCATAAAAGAGTCGACACGATTAACCCGTTCACTTAACTGTGTCGGGTAAGGGTTGAGGAGTTCAACCCGGTAACCTATTTACAATCCATTTAACTTAACATGTTATAATTATCTGGTTTAAACCCAATTACTATAAATAGTTAAGTCATTTTAACATAAACCTTGTCTATGCCTTATGCCTTATGATTTTGTTTTTATTTTGAATATTTGGGTTAATTATGACAATTTGTTTCTATTATTTAGTATTTGATTAAATATTAAATATCTCGTTAAACAGGTTAACACATTTATCTGTTTAATAAATAGATTAGGTTAGTGTTGAGTATTCTTGATATGATTATTAAATGGGTTGAGTTTGGATTTACCTATCTAATATAATATCCTTACATCGACACGACACAAATACGAATTGCCACCCTTACTTATGACCGACCATGTCATAGATTAAGGTTGCACGAAAAATAGATTAAGGTTGTACGTCATGGATTAAGGTTGCACAGAAAAACAGATAAGGTTGCACATGTCATCGCTAAAGGTTGCACGAAAAATAGAAAACGTTGCGACTGTCATAGATTAAGGTTGCACGAAAACAGATTAAGGTGAGAGTTAAACAGCCAACAACCAACGTATAGGAAGCTGAGGCCAAGCTGGGAAGGGAGCTAGAGCTATGAGAGAAAATTAATTAGAAGGAAAATGAAACTTGTTCGACCTAAAACTCAAGATGTTTAGTTTGTTAAAATATCTTAATGTGCCCAATGCTTTTCTTCACGCAAAGTCATTTCCACAAATGAGACAAGTGAACACTATTGTCTGCTATCAACTGCAGTACATAGCAAAAGCTCAACCATGCAATTCCAATTTCCTAGTTGACTATATATACATGTGGGTTTGTTTATGAACAAGTGAAGTCTTTGATTAGTACGTAGTTGTTTTTTTTTTTTTTAACTAAAAAGTTCCAAGTTTGATGCTTTGATAAGCGTGTTGATTGAATTTACATAGGACAAGAGATGTGTGGTTCTAACATCTTGAATTTTCGTAATCACTTGCATTATTGGAAAAGAAAGCCTTAAATTAACATAAGACTGATTAATGTAAAACCGGCACTCAATAAAGTTCAATCAAACCTTGTTCTCGACATGGTGGGTAAGGTAGTGCTTGTCAAGTTTTGACTTGCCAAACTAAAGCCTAATCTTGTGATTAATTAACCATAAACTGAGTCTGAATGCTCACTTTCCCAACACAATTAATTCCCTATAAAAAGATGCTCCTATCAAAAAGGCTAATTAATTAATTAATTAAACAACATCCTTAATTTTCTGTGTTTGGCTGACTTGTAGTGATGTTGGTGGTTTAGGTAAAGAGGAAGGTGTGAAGAAGAAACTAACAGTGGGGTTTCACGGTCAAATTTGGCTCCTTATCTTTTAATTTTGTCAGTCAAAATATTGAATAAATAATGTGGCTCTTATAATTGAATTCTGACAGTGTGATGTGAGAGTTTGAAATAAAATAATGTCAAGAATGCGAGTAAGTAATGCGACCATTCATACAGTGTAACTTACACTTGGTCTAATGTATGCTTTTTCTCTTTTGGATGTGAATAAAAAATATTGGTGGAACATAGAATATATGGAACAACTCCGCATTGACTTGGTATCTTCTTCTTAGTTACCGGAACATATATATATATATATAATCATAATGTCTATAGAAAATATAATATGGAATATATGTTAGTTATGGGTTTGCATTTTGATTAATTGGTGCTTTTTCGATGCTCGGGAGTCAAGTCAAGGTCAATTTAAATTAGGTTTAAAGTTGTCCTAATTCTCACTCAAGAAAAGCCAAGAACTTTATTTCTGCTTTTGACCTTTTATCAATTGATGATTAGGAGTAATTCGACATAGAAAACAGAGGGTGTCTTGAGCTTTGATGGGAAGTGATGGGCCTTTGTCAGATGGGACACCAAAAGTAATCCACACTACTTTTGGATCAAGCCCAAACCCAATTTCAGAATAATCGTCTGCTCCATGTGGTCATGGACAAAATAGGGAGCTCTCTTAGCTAGGCCAGCGAAAAACTAGCGCAACTTTTGGCACTTTCGAATCTTATAAAACCACAAACAGCTCGTTTAAATAGTTTTATTTATTTGTCTGCCTATGAACCGTTCCTGGTTGTGACTTTGGAGCATAACTACGAAGAGGTCCAACCGTACTACGTACTATGATGGGTGACCCATAAAGTTCTCGTGTCCAAACCTCATGCACTCTCATACATCATACGGACACTAATGCATCAGATCTCATCAGAATTTGAGAGTGCTTGGCGTACTACGTACTATTCTCGTGTTCAACTCTTTGGTCCGATTTTTACCTTTAATCGAGAAATTTACTACAACTAAGATTAGCTGCAAAAACTTTTTATTCACTCAAGCCTTTTTCAATCCAATTAGTAAGAGTCATAGCCTCACTCGTTATTCATGAATTTAGTCTCGACCCAAACCCTAATTCTATATAGTCCCAATTTCCTTGTGTTGGACAAAATATATCACTCCACTGATCTATACATACATACCACCCCTACCTGTAGGGCTTATAAGCAATTAAACATATGTCAGGTCCACATTTTGGTGGCCAACCACCAGTCCTAACAGAAAGGTCAGCTTCAGCAATTGGCTCAAAGTTCCACATCCACAGACAGGTCATCATGGTGTGCAATGTTAATTCAAAGTTTTTTTTTTCGTATTGCTCTCTGTGACTTCTTAATGCAATGTAGTGTGGTTAATTGACTGGTTGAGTGGAGGTGGACGACGAGGCATGGTGGTGGTGGTGGTGGTGGCTTCCGCATGCTGCGGATCCAGGCTGCAGTGCATGGATTAATTGACTGCCAACCCTTTTAAGATTTTCCAATCACCATGCATGTTTTAGTATCAGCCAAGAAATTAAACTACAGAGGACAATAGGAATCCCAAGCACTAAAGACTTGACATTTCTATTCCACTTATGATACATCAAAACTGGGTCAAATGCTCAAATATCAAAAGCCCATATCTAGAACAGAAACACACAAAAAGAAAAAGTCAAAGAACCTTAATTTCAACCACATAATGATAATGAAAACTTTCAACCAAAAGATCAAGGATATATCTATATACCCAAGGGGCCAAGCTGACTCTTCTTTGCAAACCCATGCCTGCTTTGATGCTTTCTACTACTCTAAACATTTTCAACCAAAAGATCAAAGAGCTATACCCGGGATCGCTCGTTCTTTGCAAATTACCCATGCATGCTTTGATGCTTTCAACTACTCAAAGATCTCGCGGAAAATTTCTCCTTTTGATCACAAAAGTTAGCAGGAAGATATCAGTGACTTCTACCATCCTAATGTCTAACTGATGATACAATACAAAGAGACCGACCAACTCCCAGTCCTCTTTGCGAATTGCTTTGTTCTCAAGATACTGATTGCCTCCTACTTCTGGAAGGGGTGGACTTTGTTTCATCTGCATTGGTAGAGCCACGGCTTTCTGATGTATCTGAGCTGCTGTTCTCACTTTGTCTCTCTTTGCTTGACCAAAGCTTTGAAAATATCTTCTTCGACATGAGCAACCCTTTCACTTTGTTGGCAGCCAATTTTTCAGCATTCATTTTAGTGCCATTGTCACCTTTACAGTCACCACCACCTCCCTCTTCTGCCTGCAACCTAAGAGTAGCAAGTTCCCCTTTCAGAGCTTTAAGCTCCTCTGCTGTTGGCACACCATCCCAGTCTTCTTCGGTGTTGGTTGTAGCAGATCTTGAGCTCCCGTGGGACCCACCTGGGAGTAAAGCCTTGATGGAACCAGGCAAGTCAGGTGTGTTGCCACCACCAGATGATGTTGTGGCCCTGACCTGCTCAAAGAAGAGAACCTGTACAACTACCCTCAAGGGCAGCCGCTCATTTTGCACTGCATGCATGCATGCTTCCACCGACAGCTTCTTACAGTCCATCAGCTTACAAATTCTCTTTCTCTCACTCTTGCTGATTCCAGAATGTTCCTACACCAAAACACAACATTAATTCTTTTAAATACATGTAGGTAAACAATAGAAAATTCTGATGGTTATTATGAAAATACGAGCGCCATTATTTTTTCCTACTATGCATGTGGCAAGTTCAGAGGGAACAGTGAGTTTCTATGGCCAGAACTTGATTGAATTAACCATTCAATCCACCATGCCCTTTTTTTTTTTTTTTTTTTTTTTTTTTTTTTTTAGTGGAATTGAACAATTTTTGGTTACAGATTAAATCATAAAGACTTATCTGACACCCAATTCTAATGCACACAAAACTCCTTAATACTACCCATAAATCAGAGAAATTATTACTCATATGGCCTATTCAAGAATATAGCTGCATTACATGGTCAGAACAAATTCATGAAAAAGACTAAAATGAAGGTGAATTATGCAGTGCTGGTCCCGCCTATGAGGGTGTTAGGAGGGAGAGATTAGAGACAGACCAGATAAAAATAAAATAAAAAATGTCAGTGTCATTCAAATAGTGATGATTAAAACCAAAATGTTCAAGTTCCAGCGAAGAAGGGGAAAAAGGAAGAGAGAAAAAGTTCAGGAGTTCACCTTCAGATACATGTCAATGGCACGGTATAGTCCATCATGGGATGGCCTAAAGAAGCCCGAGACTATTTCTGCAAGATCTATAAATTTTGAGAGAGGAAGATTGGGATCCCTTCCAATTTCAGCAAGAAAGCCATCAACCAGCTTAGCCACCTTCACCTTGGAAGCATCTGAAACAAGCCCAGGGCTTCTAATTTCTTGGAATTCATTTTCCATAGGACAATCAATCTGAGCACTCTGTTCCTGCTTTACAAACTCCTCAACTAGGTTTTTCACGATATCAATATCGTAAATTGTTGTTTCCCCAGCTGGAGCTCGAATCAAAAGCTCAGGCACCGTGGCCTCCTCTAACTGCTGACCGATTCTCCTCAGCAGCTCCCTTCTTCCCATTTCCCCACATTCTAATACGATAGCTGCCTGTAACAATTTGAGCAGGAAACTACAAGGTACACTACTTTTCTCTGTGGGCAGCAGCCAAATAATGGTCTCTACCATTGACTGGTTCTTTATGATGTCACCACCTTGTATCATACCCTTGCTCAACCCTGGAAGTCTTTTCAGGGCATATGAATTCAAGGCTTCTCCAATTACATCACTAGACATTTTTCCCTTTGTTTTAATTGTTGTTATGACCCGCTTGTACAAATCAATTTGAAGGTCACACAGGTCCTCGACCCACCAGTCCTTTGGAACCATCTGCTGTCTTCTCACACCATTCCAGAGTGGGTCATTTCCATTCTCAGAAGGGAGTTTTTTACGGTTATAGGTGTAGGACCACTCCACCTTTGAAGTATCAATGGAAGCTTTGGAAGCTATAGAGTCCAGGGAGTGGCTGACCACCTTCAGTTCCTCAGACCATGGAAGAAGAGACTTTGTGGTTTGGAGAACAATGATTGAGTCTTTCCAACTTCGGAAGATGCTGGAATTGAGGAAAACTTCAACCTTGTAAATAAGGTTTCCTTTATCAACTGTTTCATACATCTCCAAATACTCTGCCGCACAGCGAGCAGCGACCACGTTGTATGCATTGAGAGTCACTATCATACCATAACAGAATTTTGCACATATGTCAAAGGCTGCAGGTCCACCAGGAATATCATGGATGCAGATTTCATCGTTATTTTCCTCATTTGTTATTCCAACCAACTTCTGCAAGCGGGCACTCTTTGATAAAAGGGGAAACTGCATGAACATATTCTTTAGTATCGTCAAACAAGCATATGAAACTGAAGAGTGCTCACATAGAGAACAAGCATTTTGGATCATAAATGATTGTTTCATGTTCCTTTTGGAATTTGGATCAACATATTTAATATCAAAACCAGACCGGCAAGTTAAATGGTTTCACCACTACCATATGGGAATATTGAATCCTTAAAAAGTTAAAAGTAAGAGTAAACTAGACTGTGCGGGATAGCCAGAGCAATCTGAACAGTTCAGTTATTCAACAGTCAGCTCAATTCTAAATCTTTATTCCTGCCTCTCGAACAATTTTTCGAAGGCAGATAAGATGAAGCTGATATCACCTACTTAGACTTATAATGACCTACTAATTGAACCAAGTACTTGGCTAAATCAATCAATTCAAAAATTAACATGCATTCCTTATTTTAATTTGTTCAAGTATAGTAAGCTTTTAATTTTTTTTCTTTCTTTGATTCCTTCATAAAGCAAAGGAAAAAAAAAAAAAAAAAAAATAGTTAAAACTCGTCTTCTTTTAGTGCATATATTTCACCCTTTACAACTGCAGATTGTTTGCATACCTTATGCAGATAAAATTTCACCTCTCCAACATTAACAACTATGTCAGTTGCCAACTCAGTTGCGACATACCTGGACACACAAATATTTCTCAAATCAGGTTCATGATAAATTTGAATGTTATTGGCAAAATATAACAAGCAGCACAAGGAAAATATTGATATTAATATCATTATAATAATCTCAGTTGGAAGTTTGATAAAATAAAAAAGAAAATTCAAAGAACGCCAAAAAAAAAAAACTGGGTTATAACTGTATAAAGAATGTCCCCGAGATGAAAGTCTACCAAACAATAGAAGAAAATCATATGCCAAATATGTTCAGAGTTGATGAATCATTCCTGTGAATTATTAGTGTTTCCATGTCTTAAACTTCCAAAATGTTCAAGATATCATTAAATTCATATTTTTGTCTTTCCAACACTTCAGTATATTTTGTGAATTATAAACATTGGTGGAGTGACCGATTTATAAACCGGTGTGATAACTGAACAAGAAGTCACATGTGACTCCAATATTAATCAACCAAAGGGTGAGTGTAGGTATGGGGTCCCAGTCTTGTCACGTAGCAAATGTGCAGTCAATCACCATGTCATGCCTGGCCACATCATTCTAGAGGACTTCAAGGAGGTTGTGGCATGCTTAGGTTGGTCAGCTATTAATTAGATGGCTAAAAAGTTCCCTAATTAACCATTAAAGTTAGGATGAACACATTTAGGCAATGATTGGGGAGCTTGGAACTTGGATGCATATCAATCCTAAATATTGAACAATGCTGGATAGGCGAAGTCAAAATTCTGATCAAGCCAGAATCCAGTTGATCCAGTGGGATGTATAAAATGGTTCACTGAAACTGCCAGTTTGCAACGGGTTTGAAGTAAACCAATTGGTCCAGTGGGATGTAAAACATGGTTCATTGAACCTTCCAGTTCACAACGAGTTTGAAGGAAACTCGAACCCTACCTCTCTCTCTTGCACAGGAGATGCTTTTCCACTACACCAACTTTCCTTTTGCTTATAATACTTCAACAAATATATATATATATAAGAATGGTACTTGCTTAAAAATCCATTAACCAATCCACATACACACACAAACACTATCTTTTGTTTATTGTACTTTTGCTTAAAAGCCTTAAATATATTACTATTAATTAATTTAGTAAAAAGTCTGTTTTTTTTTTTTTTTTTTTTTTTTTTTTTTTTTTTTTTCTATTTATTTATTTATATATCTTCAAAATTCAATAAAAACTACTAAAATTAACAACAACAAAAAAATAAAAAATAAAATAAAATAAAAAATTGTTGGAACTTGGAAAAAGTAACGTATAGGAATTTTTTTTCGGGTTATGTGCGAGGTCGAAAAAATTCACAATCGCAATAACCAATTCCGTTACATTATGCTAATATGAACCCAAGTCTGCATCCGCAACTGCGAGCCATGGTATCTAGTGATATGCTCTCTAAACTAAAAAATAAGGGCTTGTTGTTCATTACCACCAACTTGGCTTGAGTGGTATGTCCTCCGCCTTCCCAAATGAGAGAATGCTTATTTATCAAAAAAGGAAAATAAATAATTGTCCATCCTTGACATATAATATGCATTAAAGATCCAATATTACATAGATAAGAAAGAGAATGAAACTGATTAAGTTCAAATTAAAGAGACATCATAGGTTATGTGTGTGAGCGTGTGCAAGTGGCACCAGTAGGCTACCACACTGGGCGAGCTACAGGTGCACAATCTCACGTCACCTGGGTGTGGATGGGGCAAGTGCCATATGTAGATTCAACACCCTTCTATGACACAACGCGTTTTAAAGCCGTAATGGCCGTGAACCCACCAGAACTCCAGAGTTAAGCGTGCTTAATCTGGAGTAGTACCAGAATGGGTGACCCCTGGGAAATCTCTGGTCCAGGGGAGCCAAAAGCAGACAATATTGTGTCTGACTAGGCTGGGGTTCGTTACAGTATGTGTGATTGTTCTTCAAAGACTCGTGCATTAAAGACAAAACCAAATATTTCTATTCTTCTGAAGATTTTTCTAGTGTAAGCATTGCTTTTGATTCGAGTGCTTTGATCGTAGGAGAGAATTGCTACTGAAAGTTACTTTGTTAAGGTGAGCTGTGAATTCCAAGGAAAATGGAATAAATAACGGCTGAGCTCGTGGTGTAAACTCGTGGTGTAAACTAGTGGAGTAAAGTTGTATAGGATGTGTTGATGCAGTGTGTCTTGGCTATGTATAGGCATATTGTATACCTACCTGTCCCTGTGAGCGCTTGCCATGACACTGGATCAAGGACTGACTTACTCTGAGACCACTTGTAACAAGTCAGGCATTTGCCATCCGACCCAAAAACTTAACCAACTAAGTGTTGTTACATTCCTGTCCTAATAAGATCAAGACCCTCCCTATCCGAATCCGACGTGGGCCCCTCGAACACTACGATTACGGGGCTGAGTAACAACTAGTGGAAACACCGTGCCGGGTAAATCTTTGTATTCTAATAACTTCTTATAATGATTTGATCAGTGCGCGGACTAGGTACTAAAAATGTGTGAAACCTTGAATTAATCAGATTCTCTCTCTTCCTCCTCACCAATGGGGGTGTTGCCGACATGACCATCGAGCCGACAACAATAATGAAATCTAGATCAAGCAGCTTCTTATCCACTCCCACAACAACCAATTGAAAGAAACAATTGTGTGTGGCCAAGTTGGCCTCGTTGATTGTCACCAGAGTAAAAGAGACAAAACCTTAACAAAACGAAAAACACACGAGATGTAAGTGATGGAATCTTTTGGGGGTTTAACTCAACAAGAAGAAGAACCACTGTAATTTGCAACTTCTATATGGTAATTTGCAACTTATATAGGCTTGTAGCGATGGGTTATGGAGGGTTAAGATATGGTGGTGGTAGCTGTGGCTCTGGTGGTAATGAATGGGTTACAGCAATTATGGAGGTGTGGGCTTTTGTGTTCTTCTTTCCCAATTTCAAACCAACTTAAATGTAATTAATTCAAAATAATTAATATGAAAAACAAATGTCAACACATTGTTTAGCTTGTAATTAATATGTAAATAGATAAATATTTATACCTCTTCCTACTAAAATAAAATTTTAAGTTATAAATTTGCAAAGTAATAAAAACAAATAAAATCAAATGAACAATAAATGGGGATAATAATGTCTTTTCATTTGCAAAAATCATATATTAATCAAATTATTTTGCTCACGTTAGCAAATCGTAACATTGACCAATCTTAGTGGAGGTCAATGCAATTTTGTAGTACACAGGAACTAGAGTAGAGGTCAGTGTAATTTTTCCTAAAGAATATATTTCTATCAAGCTCATGCACTTCTTGGAACTGAACCCATAGAGAAGAATGAATAAGAAGAATGTTTTGTGTAAAGAATAAACCACGGAGAACTACACCCTATTTAATCAAATCATTACAAATGCACCATACCCCCAAAAGAATTTTCCACTGTTTCTAGGGAAAATGTTGCAAAAAATAAAATAAAATGGATTTATAGCCCTGATCGGTATACTCGCACTATGTATCTCATTGAGCCTTAAAACTATTTGTTGAAGTACTATAGTCTTTCTTCTGCATGTTCTTACATGTGCCTAGGGGTGGCAAAATATACCCCAACCCAAAAACCCGCCCAAATCCGCCCAATAATTATTGGGTATTGGGTGACTAGTTTAGTTGAATGGGTTATTAATGGGTAAATCATTAATGGGAAATATATTTAATGGGTTGGTAGTGGGTACCCCCTTAACACACCACACATGATATTTTCCAAAATCAAATTACTTTGTTTCATTTGATCTCTCTCACTCCTCTAGTTTTCTCTCTCCACTTTGTATGTCTCTCGTGTCTCTCTCTCCTCACTTATCTCGTATTTTCGTCTCTCTCTCTCCTCTCGTTTTCTGTCTCCTTTTGTTTCTCTCTCCTCTCTTCTTTTTCCTACCCTTTTTTCTCTCCCAGGGGTGGCAATTAGGATTTATATATATATAAACAGTCGATAAAGAATATATCAATATAAGATGTATGTATAGTTGATGTATCTGGACTGGTCTTTGGTTACTTGGGACCTGTTTTGTTAGGTTTTCTATTTTGTTGGGCCTAATATTTTTGTACCTGGGTTTTAACTTTGCAACTCTGCGGTACTGTTTTTGCTGCTCTATCCATTAGGCTTGATTTTATTTTGTTTTGACCCTGGGCTATGCATGTACAGTTCTTCTATTTCTATTTATTTCACCCACTTATCAAAAAAAAAAATTTGCCCCTTCAAAGAATGTAAAGAGAAAGTACAAGGTTTTGATTTCAGCTTTTCAATTTAATATGGTAGTCAATGAAATCTTATTTGAGGGGAAAAAAAAAAATGAAACCTTGGTTGTCATTTTGAATTTGCTTTTTCAACATCACAGATTTGCAACAGGGGGAAAAAAAAAACCTGCGCGGGGGGGGTGGGTGTTGGGGTTGGAACGGGTTAACCCGTTTTGACCAGCCCATTTGAGTCCTTACCCATTTATGACCCACCATTAGCGGGTTGAGAATGGACTACTGACCCATTCATACCCAACCCAAAACCCACCCAATTGCCACCCCTACATGTACCTAATCAATTAAACAATGCCTCCAAGGCACTATTTTCCAGGACTTCTGATTTATTATCTTCGTCGTCATTTTAGAGCTTCTCTCTATGATTTGAGTTCTCTTGTCAAGAACAAAGGTGTTTTTCATCGCAACACAGTCTGATACACCTAATTTTAACTCAAAAGGACCTAGCCTGATACTAATTCATCTTTAAGAATATAAAGTTAACTACTTAACTACTAACATATATAATAAATATAAATGAACAAACCCCTCAATGTCACTCAGATAATTGAAGTCAATTTAACTCATGAATTTTAGTCGATAAGTCACAGAAATCACCATGCAGAATTCTGACAAAGATCCTAAGCATTAAATAACTTAAAAGAGACAAAGGATCAAATTTTTAAATAGAAATGGCGTGGGAGAAACATATAAGGCTTAGTAAAACGTATATACATTTTTTTATGGTCACAATTGATAATAAATGTAAACAGTAGGTTGTAAAAAAATTCTTCAGCTAAGAGACCAGAAAAAGGAGAAGGGGATATGCTGAATGGGGAGTTGACACGCAGCAAACATTCCAAAAAATTGAGCAACGGATATTAAATGCATACACAGAGAAATTTATTATATTTTTTTGTTCCACATAAAAGAACAAATTTGAACTTTTTAGTCATCAACATGAACAACAAAGATTATAGCAAAATTAGAATTCTCTTCTTGTCAAAATTTAACATTCCCAATTTAAAGAGAATCCAAAAATTGAATATACTCCTCTATTCATTAATAAATAAATAAATACACTCTTCTTCAAAATCTAAGAAGACGTGAAAACCCCTATTTGACAAACGGAAACAAAAATGAAAATGGCCTCTTGGGAGACAACTTCTGACAACTGATTTCAAATAATTAGGGGAGAAAATAACTGAAGTATAAATATTGTAAAACCTTGCTCTTTTTACAAGACACATACTCAACAATGGAAAAATCAAACAAATTTTGAACACTCAAAACTTGTTCATACTAGAGTCCCTTAATTCTAGATTGTACATCATAACTAAACGGAAACCATCTTAATTCTTAACCTGTAAGCCTTTAAGATAATCAAACCCGTGACAATAGTCAACTACAAGTTGGGATGAACTCTTAAAATTCTGAATGCCGCATGTAGATTATACTATTAAACTATATATTCCTTGACAATTAGAAGAGCAAACCCATATTTGATTGTGAAATATCGAAAGAATGGAACTCATCATTAAGGAAGAGAATCATCACCACTTGAGATAAAAAAAATAAAATCAACTTATTATATCTTTACAGTGTCATGTACATCCAAGGAAATATTTTCATTTCAAGTACTAAAACAACGAAGAAACTTCAACTAAGAAAGAGTAAAATAATTGTTGTGTCGAAACTCGAAACACCCCCAAATCAATTTATAGAGGCAAACAATTTCAAAGTGATGTATAGGAGGTGTAAATATTAGGAACAAAATGGGATCAAATGGTCACAACAAATGTTTCAAGTCAATAACCTGAACAGGAGAAACAAGAAATGACTGCCCTAGAAGCTGCATAAGCATAAAAGTGAAGGGAACCGGAACAAAATAAATTCTCCAAACAAGCATATATGTGTGTGGACAAGAAGAAATCCCCGTTATTCGGCTTAAAGAAAAATCCCCTTAATAGGGAGGGAAATTAGTGAATACCAACAAAAAAAAAAAAAAAGCAAAAACAGACCCAAAATGTAATTTATGCTGTGAGAAAAATAGTAACTTGGAATTAGAAAGAATTGCATACTGACCTAATATTGTCCCCATCAGTCTGAAATGAGTCAGGCTTTGATCCAAGTTTCATGAACTTCATTTTGGCAATGATAGATATGTTTCACCTCCAAGATCCCCAATTCCAACTTCAACTAATCCAGAAAATTCACCAGCACAACAAATCAGAAACTCATATAATAAATAAAATCACTCAAAAGAAAGAAGAACCTAGAGATGGAAATTAAATTCTTAAATCTGACCAAATTTTTGGGGTTGAAGGAAAAGAAAAGATAGATCAAGTCGAGAAGGTGAAATGTGTTCATGTGTGACTGAAACTCACCCACAAACCAAGGTTAGAGAGAGAAAGTTTGTGCAATTATTTAGCAAATTGAGTTTGCTTCCTTACTTGGAAGCAAAGCCCACGGAGTGCGGGCAGAGAGGGTCAGTCCAGGAGACAGACTCTCTCACAAACACTAATAAAATTCTCAAAACCAGAGACACACACACTTGCTAACGACTGACACCACCGCCCACGCTCAATTGTTACTTTCTCTCTCTAGAAATCCATATATACATACAGATAAATATGTGTGTGTAATTCGCAATACCCAAACCCTATAATCCACATTCCTTCACAATTCTTCTCTCACCACTGAAATCAGAGGACCTGGCACAGAAAACACCATCTCGGTGTGAGATGAAGACGCTGACAAGTTGGTAGACAACAAGCATCAATGCTTTTGGAAGATCATGAAAAGCAAATTACAAAGAAGAACAACCCAACACCACTACCAACAAAATCGTTTCCAAATTTAAGTGAAACTGAGAGATGAAATTCCCCAAAACAGTACATCAAAATTTACTCACCACAGAAACCAACCCAAGAAAAGACCAAATAAAGGTCCAAAACAAAACACAACCCCAAAACACCTACGCGTGTAAATTTCACACAAAAATAGAACTCATCTTTATACAGTAATACTATTACTTACAATGGCTATTGGAACTGTGAATCAAAACCCAGAGAAGATGATAGCAAACCCGGCTAAGTGCTTGTGTTAAACATTCATATGAGTGAATGAGAAGCTCCACATTTTGCTGGGTACGAAGAATGTATGCACAGCACAATACACAACAACACACGCAGGCTAGGGCATGAGCAGTAGTATTGTATATTATCTAAGGGACAAAACCCAAGAGACCCCACCACCACTTTCATAGTTATGAGGCTATCACAAAAACCACCCAACAAAAACACAAAAAACCAACCATCAAAAAGATGAGTTGTCGCTCATCTTTGACAGCCACCCCAGCAACACCATGTTTACACAAAAAGCCAAGTCAGAATGTTCCCAATCTCATCTCTTTAGAATCAGCACCACCGCCCCCACCACCCCTACCTTTCCCATCTCCTTTCTCTCCACCCAAACAAACTTTAATACCCAGAATCTAATATTTACATTATACTGTGTGTGTGTGTGTGTATATATATATATATATATAACACCATACATATATCACTATCATATGCTATTTCAAATTCTCAATTTCCAAATTTTTTTTCCTTTATTTCAGCTCTGACTTAAAAGTGGCCAGGTGGTTTGGGCTTAGTTTCTCTCTCTACAGTGCTAGGCACGCCAATCTGACAGCCTTAACAGTGTTGCGCCCTTTATCAAATACAAACATACTTACATGGTTGTAGAGAGAGAGAGAAACGTGTGTACAAGAAAACGACCCGTCCATTGCCTCTCGTACTTTGATAATATTGGTATCCATCTCTTTGTTTATTTATTTATTTATTTTAGGAGCAATGGAAAGAAAAAGGTTGTCTCCTTTAATTTGTCGCGATATATTGTGAAATTGTCGAGATATGTTGGCGGTATGGGTTTGGGCCAGACTGTGGGTGTTCACATGGATCACTCATGACCTCTCACTTTGCAAAAAGAAAGAAAAATGACTTTTCATTTGGTGTTTGGACTTAAAAATCACACCCTCTTGGACTCTGTATTTGTTTAACATTGTACCCATTTCAATGCTTGATATTGTTTTATATAGGTAGTAGTAAATATGAAGTTCATGTTGTAGGAGTAGATCTTCTGTTTTTACCTCCATTATGTACAATAAACACTAGTACAACATATTTACAATCAAACATATGCAATATGATGTGAGTGTTGCATTACCGATTTAAATACTCTGTTTATACCAAGTATTGCATATCATACACTTTATTTAATGTTGATTTCAATTCTTCAACGTATTTTACTACTCAATGTAAGACCAAATTAAGCATCTCAATTAACTAAGACTATACCAGTTAATTAACTTTTTCTTTTTTCTTTTTTCTTTTTTCCTTTAGATCAATAAGATTCACCACTCAATGCAACACCTATCTGAAAGAAATCCCTGTTTTTTTCAAATCTCTCAAATAACTTACCAAAAAAACTAAACACTCAATTAACTGAACCATGCTGACTAATAATGACACTTCAAGTTGGTTAGTTTGAGTTTTAGAGAAGCACAAGATCAAATCATTCACCATTAATCAAGAAAGCACGAGAATAATCATTTAATGTAAGACCTAATCAAAACCAAATTCACTTTTTTTGCCAATGTTGACACTTCAAATACATAGAGAGTATTAGTTTTCATTTCCAAACAAGATCAATCAATGCTAATCAGCACAAAACACAGAATGAGATGCATCATAATAGAGTGGGAGGCAAAGTTTGATATGCCATCCCATTTGTTTATTGGCTAGTCCAATCAAAATGATGAACATCTCCCCTTCACCCACTGGACAAGTTGTGACCACATTCCTTTTCTCTTATCCAATCTTTTAATTCTATATCTTCCTCACATGCAATGGTCCTATCTCCTTCCCCAGTGTCACCAAAAATCAATTATAACCATTTTACATTTTACATCTTATTTTACATGACAAGAATCTCATCACCCAATACATTCTAACCCCTTTTGTTTACCACAGAATTTTTTCTTTTTCTTTTTTTCTTTTGAGTGGCTTGGAAAGTATTTTTTGTTTATAACACTAGGTTCTGCTTTTAAAGAAATTATTAAATTATCTGGGATTACATGGTCTTGGTCAGTTAATCACAACCCAATGCGTAAATGCTTTGTTCTGCAGGAAAGGAAAAAATTTGAATGGAAGAGAAAAAAAAAAGAAATGGATGAGACATCCTTAAAGAAAAAAATGTGTATTTCCTTCTTCTTTTTCTTTTTTTACATTGGATGGAAGAAAAGAGAAAATACTCACAATTTACTATGTTCGTTAGAGAAGGATTTATAATATTATAATTTATAGATAATAGTGCTGTAATTTAAAACTTGTATAATTTATGATAATATTATATTTAAAAATTCTATAATAACTCACTTGTCTACCCTAATCTCTTCAACTCTTTCGCCCATTTTTTATGAATAATAATTTATAAAAAAAATAAAAAATAAAAAATGACTCATCTCTCCTATTATTATTATTATTTTTTTAGCATCACCCCCGCAGAGAGAAAATGTCATTAACTATTTGTCTGGCCAAATTTGAATCTCAATCTTGGGAAGTATCTTATCCACAAGGTTGGTTGGATGAGTGCGTCATACCAAGAGGGGTTGTCTTGGAGAGGAATTGCTATCTGGTTTAGTCAAAGGACATGTGAAAACAAATGGGATTGACACTAAATGTCACTCTCAAGGAAGTTTACAGGGTCCTACATTGCTAATTTGAAGCTTTAGAATCACAAAGCAATGCCTCAAACTTGTGGTTATATGTCTTCTTCAAGAAAAGTGCTCATTTTGGATGCCACTTATGTGTCTGGTTTATATGAATTAACTTTGACCACAACACGTGGTCTAGCTAGTTGTTGGGTCTCCCCATCTCTATCCAATTCTTTGTTGACACAATTATCTTCCCAACTTCTATAGTAAATTCCCTAAATTTGAGGAGGTAAGTCATCTTATCATATTGTAGACCAAGTATCCGCCAAGGATGACCTAATTCCCTCATAATTGTTTCATATGGATCCTCTTTTGTGTGTGTGCGTGTGAGTGTGTGAGAGAGAGAGAGATGTGGCAATAAGTCACTGTTTTTCAGATCAAATGGCCAGGATAGTTACACACAGCCCTCCCATTAGCTCTTTTGTATTATAATTATCTGTGGGCCATAATTTGCATTGGACACTAGCTAATCCATGCTTTAAATATTATATGTGGGCCATAAATTAATCATGATGGCAAGTGTTTTAAGGTGTGAACTCCACCAAAAAAAAAAAAAAAAAAAAAAAACACAAAACTTCCTCACATGCATCATCAAAAGTTACCATCATAACTTATTGAGTTCTAGTGGTTCTCCCTTTTTTCTTTTTCTATGGTAGGGCTTGAGCTGTAGCTTAATTGCAGCATCATTGTAATGTGGTTCAATCAGTATGCAAGTATTTGCTGCCTCCTTTGCCCTATGAGTGTCCTATATAGTAACAATTGAACATTTTTATCAATATTGCAAAGGGGCAGCGTAACTGCCCTTTTACTAAAAGTATGACTAACCCGAAACTTTTCGATTTATCAGGAATTTGATTTGGTTCACTTTACGAAACTTTTAGAAAAGATAATTAAGTAAATATACACGGTTTTTATTTCATATATATATAATGAAAAATAACGTGGCTTTCAAATCACAACAAAACAATTTTACTGTTGCGGTCAAATTCATTCTTTTGATGCAAGTGTAAACAATTATTGAAATTTTTTTTTTTTTTGTTTTTGGTTCCAACCAGCTAAATTGCTTGATACCAATTCCATCAAGTTGGTCCTACTCAGCGCCACATCTTACAATATATGTTCGACATTTATATATAATTATCAAAGATGCTTTTCCTAATTTATTTTGAAGTAAGTGGAATACTATATGATATGCAAGCAGGATGTTGATTACACTTTACCCATAGAATCTAATGTTTATTTGAATATTAAAAAGCATAAAGGTATTCATATACTTAGGAAGACGCTTTTCCTGAAAACTCACAACTAAAATCAATACTTATATATATTGTGGTCGTACATGCATTTGAAAACAGCAGAAAAATAAAAGGTTATTTTTGTTTAATTAAAGTGAAAAAGAACAATGATGGACTATGTACATTGTCTTTTCATGATCAATAAAAGTCCACTGACATTGTTTAACTTCGAATTATTTTATCACACATAATCATGCTAGTTCATTTCACTTGGTCATTAGTTTCTTTAATTTTTTCAATATTTCACCGGAGTATAACACTAAACTATGGTAAGAATAAGAATAGACCTTTAAGCTCAATTTTTTTTGGGAAAAAATGAAAGAAAATGAATGGATATTATTTATATACATATATATATTTTATGTCTTTAGTATAAATTTTGGACCGAAGAGAAAGGAAATGAAAGTATTTGGAGAATTGGAGGGATACTTAAAGATTGACAAGTTAGTTTTGTAATCCTTCAAAAAGTGGGATGATATGGAAAGAAAGACTAGTATTTTTAATAAAATTTTGTTAATATTAAATTAATTTGCTCTTATTTTTATAAAAGATAAAATATATTAAAAAATAAATAATAATAATCAGAATAAAGAAAAATAAAAGACATATACGATGGTAAATTCATTAAAATAATTTTTTTATTTTTATTTTTTTTTCACTTTATTAAACATAGCATTAAAGAAAAATCTTAACTAGACTGACTTGCAAACAATGATGATAAGACGAAGAAGGTGTGAGCCTCATAGCGGATTTCATGGTTTATTTTCTTTGTTTAATTCATAAATTATGAAGTTTGGGATCACTAACAAATTATCTGATTGCACCTTTGAATCTATGTTTGATTTATCAGATCAAATTAAAATCAAATTAAATGCAGAGAAATGTAGATACAAGAAGGGGTTCACACGATGGACCTATATATATAAATATATATATGGAACGCCATGGGGTGCGTGGAAATTGCTTTAATTTGTGCCCATAATACCATGATGGGCATGGTGGACTGAATCTTGAATGGGCCAGCCCGACCTTTCCTTCTTCCAAAGAACAGAACAGAACATGGTTGGATACCAATACCATCCCTCTCCTACTTTAAACATTCAATCATGGACGAGGTGTCTCTGTAAATTTAGCTGCTTGTACATTGTACAAGGCCATGTGTATGGGCTATTTTTTCTCCTAACTGAGTTAAAGGCTCTCACCCAGTCCAATCCCTCTTTGATTTGATTAGGAATCTTCAGCCGGAAAGTCAAGATTTTTAGTAGTGGGCAACCTTCTAACTATAATATAATAAAATAATCTAAATAAAAATAATATACATAGTATAAAAATTAAAATATTAATATCAACAAACTCGAGATTTTTGGTAACCCATAAAAACAATTGGGCTAAAGGAGTATGGGCCAGTATAGCCCAATTTGCGGCCTGCTATAGAAAATAAAATAAGAAAAATTACAACCAAAATTTATTTCTCATTAAAAAATAAATAAGTTTAAAGTTTTATAGGATCAATGAGTTACACTTTAAAGATTTTTTTCATTTATAAAATTTGTTACTTAGTAATATTGCATTATAATTTAAATAATAAATATTCTATAAGAAATTTAATAAAATGTATTTTTTTATATGTAAATTTATCTCTTATTTTGTAAGGGTATATATAAATGTTTAAGTCTAAATTTTATATCTAATTTAGTAAAGGTATAAATAGAAAATTTAATAACTTAAAAAAAAAAAAAAAAAGGTCAAAAGTAAGACCTTTTGGTTTTTAATTTTTTTAAAACTTTTTTTTTTTTTTTTAATGAAAATAGTAGACCGTTGCTAGTAATTTTTCCTTGATTCTATGGCTTAATAAAATAACAATAGAAAATTGCAAAAAAATTAAATTAAAATAAATAAATAAATAAAATAAAATAAAATAAAAAACCTAATAGGCTAATACTCGGGTAATACCCAATTAAATCTGCTCTCTGCTTTTGAAAAATTTCAGACCTTGGGTCCTCTCCTCTGCACCACTGCTTAGCGGCGAGAAGTTGAGGAAAAATAAAGGAAGAAGCTCTCCTTCAACCAGGTAATTAGGGTTTTTTTTTTTTGCATTGCAGATCTCTCTCCTCTTTTTCAACAATTTGTCAATTCACGGCCACAAACCACCACCGCCAGCCGTCACCTATATAACCTTCCCACCCATTGATTGCTCATCCTCACCATAACCAATTTTCCACCCACCTAACCCCAACACCAACCGACATACATCACACTCACCACAAACACGGCATCACACTTAACCTTTTCACGACTTCACCCACTGTGCTTCGTAGATTGCAATTCGACTGCCCCCTAATTGTCTCTGTTGTTATCAAAAAAATCAGGCATTCATCTCTCTATATATATGTGCGTGTGGTCAAATAATTTGAAAATTCTTTTAGAGACTCTACTAATTCTTCAAAAATTCAATCTTTCTTTGCTATCGATTGCAGCTAGGGTTTTAAAGTAAAATAAAAAATCAGTTCGATAGAATGGACCCTAAACACACAGGAGAGGTTTTGAGGTAAATTATTTCAATTTTCGTGTGTTATATTTGAACTATTATATATATATATATATATATGTATGTAAATTGTTCTGAATTGAGTTGTTTTGGTTTGAAACGCTTTGTGCAGGCATTTGGAGAAGCAGAATGAGCTCCTTATGGATGCATATAGATCCATATCACACGAATTGCATAAACTTCAGGTTGCTATCTCTCTCTCTCTCTTCTTTTTTTCTTTTCCATAAATAACTTCAGGTTGTTCTTTCAATTTCCATTCGGGTTGATTGTTTTGCTTTATGCTCATATCTTTTAGGAAAAGTGTAGATAAACATTGAAATATATAAGTGTAAATCATATTTACATAACTGAGATGTAAGTATAAGTTGTCTAACCATGCCGGTAGCTGATTCCTACCCTTTTTAGATGGCGGTACTTTTGATTTAATTCTTGAAAATTGGTGTATTCAGCGGCTGAAACCTTTTCAGTTACTTGCATAAGAAAACCATGCTAAAGCTAAACTAAATTTAGATATGAATCATATGATGAGCCCACAAGAGGAAAATTATAAATTTATTAGTATGATAAAGTTGGAGATAGAGAGTTATGAAGAAAATAGGAAAATAAAAAATTGAGCGCCACAATGAATGGTGGGGCATAGGACTGCTTCATAAACATACTTGCCCGCATACCATTAAAAGTGATGTGCGTTTGTAACCTTGAATAAAAACACTTGGGATGAACTTAAAAACAAATATTTACACATGGACGTGTATTTTAGCGTAAAACCATTTATTAAAAACTGTGATTTTCCCTGCATAATTCTGGTTGCGAAAAATGGAAGTCTCTACTGACAGAAAATTGAAAGTGTAATAATCAGTACTGAAAAAAATTGTCTGAATAAATATTCGGCAATCAATTTAGAAAATAACAATCTTGTAGTTAGCCTCCTTGTTAAAAAAAGATTGGGACTTGTCATTTCACACCTTGCTAAACCAATAGGCTGAGTCTAACAGGGTGTTTCATTCTGGTTATGCACTCAATATCTTGTGAGCGTTTTGTGGAATTAGTCCAGTTTTTGGTGGCAATATCCATATCCACACATTTATCGAAACAAATATCCATATCCACACTTGAGTATGTAAGGAGATGAGCATGCTACTTATATTGGCTGCATAATTCATTAAGCATGCACTTGGACATCAAAAAATATGATTCACTGCATTGTCCTGCAAAAGTTTGTGTTAATCGTTGAAGTAACCAATATCTGAATATAAACCATTATAAGAATTCCAATTTTGTATATTTGAGAATCCAAGCATGCAACAATATAATGACAAATCAATTATAAGATTGTTGAAGACTCTTAGAGATGTGGTTCGGACTAATATGTAGTATTTCTTATGAAGGATGAGATGTGATGGATTTTTAGGATATGTTCTTATATAGGATTCTAGAGGCAAATCCCTTGATCATTTGAACTATTCTGATATAGATATAAAACTGCAAACCTTGAACATTATTATAGAAATAACAAATGTAAATGTCAAGTTAACCCATAAATAATTGATGCACCCAGGTACTGAGACAATGATTTGAGGGGTGCAATTGAGCACCTGGGGTTATGAGGTTGGACTTAGTTTCATTGTTTCTCCTATTGCTTAACCTCACTTAGAAGTGTGGCCATAGTCATCTAGAGATTTTTTTTTTTTTGAATTGAAAATTGAGATATAAACTATGTTTACAAAATAAAAAAAGCACCCCTTTCTTTTTCCATAAAAAAGCACCCTTGAAATATAATTTTTTCTGCGAACTACCCCATGAATGAATTTTGCCACTACCCAAAATTTGCAGCTAAATCCAACTAACTAACTGGTGTTGGTCTGTGTTAAATGTTATATGAAATTACTTATTTGGCCTTACTATTTAAAATTTAATTAGCACAAAAAAAAATATACAATATGACAACTTTGTACCTAATACTGACGATATTGCTTTGCAAAAAATACAATTCCTTCTCATAGCTGAGCAGGCTCACTCCATCTTCATTTGCTCTCTTTATCTTTCTCTCTATTGCTCAGTTCTATCTCTCTATATCACTTAATTCTTAAACCACCATTACAGAAGAATTGCTGATTATCTTCAAAATTTGCTAACGAGAAAGTACGAATCACAAGTTAATATATAATGCAGAGTTGTTATGAAGAAGATAATATGGTCATTCCCAAATGCCATATAGAGATTGTGTAAGATAACCTCGGTAAGTTAATGGCAGACATGAAATCAAAGGGAAAAAAATAATTAAAATGCAGGAAGAATCCCACCACACCCCACAATGATTTTTACATTACTGCAACCATGGGTGATTCAAATGCTTGATCTAAAGCAAAACCCTCTTACAAAAATTTGCTTCACGATGCAAATCTCTTCATTCCTTGCTATTTATATCTATATATTTGGTAACCACAACAATAACATGCAAAATCAAAAAACTATCGCATGCCTTCTCTGTCCTGACCAGAAGAGAAAATTTTGAGAAAGAAATGATTGAGTGAGATGCAGCAATCCGTAAGGGGCTTGAGAGAGAGAGAGAGTTGTTGACCCGTTAGTGGTGAATAGATGTCAAATGATAAACTGGTATAAAGGGTAAAACTGGGTTTCCAAAAACAAATTTACATCACGTGCTTTTCATGTGACGCATTTACAGATCATTTCTTGACGAAAACTAGACGAAGGGTGTATGATGCAAAATGGTTCATAGTCCAGGGTGTTGATCTGGAAGAAAAAAAATAGTACTAAGGGTATTTTGAAAATATTTAAAATAATTTTTTTAAATAAATAAATAAATTACATATAAACTACATGTTGCCTTTACTTTTTCCATTATAAGGACACATTAGATGATAATCAGTTAATGTTGACCGTGAGAACTGCTCTTGAACTAGTTATTACATTTAAAATTTTCTCTAACACTAATTCTGAATTAAAGGTTTCCTTAGACAAGTGTAATTAATGATTAATTAATCAACAATGATGTGATGTTTGGTGAATGACATGTATTATGTGAGGCTGTCACTTTGAACCTGTTGGGCCTTCTCCATGCTCGGTCAAATGCTTTTACTACTTTGCTTAAGTGTGTATGAGTGACATTTCTGAGAGAAAGTGGTGTAAATGAAGAAATCTAATGGTGAAATAGGTTGAAGAAATGCCAATTTAATAATATTTCTGTACTCTCAAAAGTTTTGGTCTGCATGAACATCCCACTTCAACTAGATCTATAGCACACATAAGTTTTGGATTTATTATATAAAATATGTGTATAGTTTCTTGATATATTTGTCGTGGTTTATTTTTACACTACATTAAATTTAGTAAATGTTTGTTTGGAATGCAATTTCAAAAGAGATAATGCTGAAGTTTCATGATTTGTAATTTGTAGGTAGAGGAAGAAATGCTCATGCGCAAGTTCTATGAACTAATGTCAGCTCAAGGTTTAACAAAAAAGGTATATCTTCCCCAGAGCTTTATCTATTTATCCAATTTTTATATTCCCAGAGTTTTTTCCTTGGACTGGACTTCCACATTAGTCCTGGTTTTTGGGTGTTTTGGGGAACCATGACCCAAGTACAAACTCAATAAAGTAAATATAATTCCTAAAGTAAATGATTTCCACCTGTTAACAGGGTTTTCTGATTTGAATTATTTTCATATTCTTTTTTTCATTGGCAAGAAACTCATACACCCATGTACCGCTATGGGGACTTGAACCTTCACCTCACTTTGGGTGGTGAGAAAGTTCTCACCACCCAAAGTGAGGTGAAGGTTCAAGTATTGTATACCTTCTCGAGATTGAGGAGATACCACTGGGGTACAGTCTCTGGTAATTTTTTTCATATTCTATTTACAGGAGAAAGTAACCTGAGGCCTATAGATAAAATCTGTTGATTTTTCTGGATTTGGTTACTGTGGATAACCTTTGATCTGTCAAAGGGAATAGGGGAAACCCTATTTTTTTTATGAACTTTTATTGTCACTGCCACCTATGATGTTACTTCTTGTAGAACTCCTTATGATTGGGGTAGCCGGAGCCCATGATGCAGCTGTTTGGCTGGGCCTTTCCCCGTCCGCACACACACACGCACACACCCCAAAAAAATATATATATATATATATATCCCGAAAAGGAAAAAGGTTCCAAAAATAGAGTTCCCCAAGAGTCGTGAATTAGATAAATGCTAAAAGAATAATATTTAAAATCTGAAGCATGGTTAGGGTTTAAATTGATTCCGCTGCTGTCAATTTGTCCATTGGTTGATTTCTTTTTTCTTTTTAATATTTGGGCAGTTTGTTCAATGGCAATCACTATGTTCATTTGTCTGATGTTGTATTATTGCAGAATGAAGACAATAGTGGTTCAAATAATGGCGAAAGCGGACAATCTTCAGCAATGGTTGCAGTTGGTGATGAACAGTAGTGTGGATGTCAAACTCTGATAAGATGTAAATTTTATATTTTTCTCTTTCGGTTTTGGTCAATGTCTTGAATAGAGACCTTTCTTTTTCCCTTACTGTTGACTTAAACAACATATGAGTAAATAATTCTTGTTACCCTGAAATCCAATTTGCATCCTCTAATCATTCCCCTAATGTTTCTTCTATTGTGTTTAAGCATATAATGAACCAACTTGAATTAAGTGTGACAAAAAATAAAATGTAAGGATTGCTCGGGAGAGACACTACTAAGTGAAATTGGAAATGGGGCTGCTAGAACTTCAAATGCTACCATGCAAAGAAGGTGTTCTTTGTATAATGAGAATCTGTGACTCAAACAGCCTCTTCTTTTGGTTGCCTGCAAGTAGTGATAGCTTTTCGTCTTAAAGGTGATATGCTCTTGTTTAACATTTTGTTCACCTGTGACCACCATGTTCTGTTTGTCTAACATTTTGTTTGCTCTGCAGAATGAAGACAATGGTGTGGATGATGGCAATTTGAAATTGGGCCATCCAGAGCATCATTAATTATGTGGCTAGCAATTAAGAATAGGATTGATGTCAAGTTTGTAAATTCTCTCATACATGAATTACCATTTTTTTTAATCTTGTGTGTTGAGAATAGTCTTTTTTTTGTAATTATTTTATTTTATACCACTGTTTATTTAGCATCACACAAAAATAAATAAAAATTTACCAGTCACTGTGTATCTAATCTAAATCAATACAGTGTTGAACAAAGAATTCATGTAGAAGTGCCACCAAGTATCCGGAAAATTTTAAAATTAATTCATAATCCATGCGCCTACAATTGTCACATTACTAATATATAAAGAATGACTATTCGAAAAACAAAAAAACAATTAAAGAGAGCTAATTAACATACAGACATGTACCAATTAAGTGACCAACTTTACATAAATGGAACACTGGAAGGGTATTCCATGTATGGTGACGTCAGTTGCATGGTTGTCGGACCACCATAGTAGCACATTGGAGCCAAGGATCGTCCATAATCACATTATCCAACTTGGATCATCGTATACAGGATCAGTAGCAGTATTGTATGTGACATCAAATTTAATCCAATCTTCATCATTCATCATCATCAAATTTGGATCATAAAAAATTGGAGTAGTGTATGTGACATCGCTAACAGAAGAAAAAGAAGCACCACCAAGTCCAATGCAGTCTTTATCGTCCATGTTCACCATCATCATCGAATCTGCAGGCATTGAGAGATCGAACGGAACGGGCACGTAAAGATCACTGAAGAAAGAAATTGGGTGCTCAATAATAGGGTCCGATGCGGGCATGAAATAACCAGAATAGTTTTCTTGTGTAGCAAGAAAGCTATCATCCAGATTTTGGTAATTAGACTTCAAGAATTGAAGTCTAGTTTTGACGGCTTCAAGCTTTTCTTCCAATTTGATACCAAAGTTTATCAATTGTTCCTTGGACGGATTGTTAAACTGGTCATCCCAAATAGTGTACTTGATATTCTTGTTGGTCTCATCATCATCATCATCATCATTATTTTTCTTGTCATCCATTTTAACAAGTACTGTAGAAGTACTATTACCTGTTGATCTATTTCATCAGCCTTCTTCTTTGGGTTGTCTTCTTCCAAGAAGTGAGACAAATCAAGAATCCACTTACAACGATTTTTATAAGATTGCTTCTTATACAATGTGAACATGCGTTGGATTGCATCAAGATCTTTAGGCCATATATAAGACTGTTGATCATCACCATAAACAACTGTACAGACTTCTACACCACATAGAATGGATAATTCAAAAGTCTTATTTTCCAAACCCTTTCATATTTAATATATATATATCCAGATTTGTTAGATTGAATATCATATATATTACGTCATATGATTGAGTGGAAGTTTTCATATTTAATTTGAACCAAATTACTTACTGCCCCTTTTATTTTATTCACACACAAGTCTGGATTAAGTAAAACTGGTTTGGGCTACACAATTCCAGTAGCCAAACAGCCCTTGTCTCCCTCAAAACCACACGTACTAGTGGCCGCGACGGCAGCGAAGAACAGACAAGTTTCGCGGCGACGGCGGCGAGTCTTGCGTGCAGCGATTACTGTAGATGAATAGGATTTCTTCCTCGCTTGAACAAATCTGTTGCAAGCACGGATCGCGACCCTCTGCTACTTTCGGCGATGACCCTCTGCAACATCCGGCGAAGACACTCTGCAACTTCCGACGACACAAAACAACAATGAAGCCCCGACGGAATGGAAAGGCGCCGATTCGATGACGAGTCACAACCGGTCCGCCGTCATCCGTGTTCGCCCACCGTTCCACTGCACCGCCAGTTCCGATCCTTGCTCATTACCGCAGAATAGTGCTCTCCGCCGGTCAGATTCTTGCCAGCTTCTGTTCATTGCTCGCCGCTTTACTCCGCCGCCTCTCGCCGATAAGTCCATTCTTGGTGATGTTTTGGGGTAAAAGGGTTAGGGGATAGTAAGGTAATTTGGTTCAAAATTAAAGGGTTATTTAAGCAACAAAATATAATAAACAGTCGTCAACTTTATTTTCCGAAACTGTCAGACTCTGATGATGGTGAATATAAGTCAGTAAAAATACCTAAATACGTAGTGTGTGTGTATGCATAATTATAAAATTTAATTGATTACCTTAGTTTCAATATTGGTTTTTCACTGGGTGAGGATGAACACCAACAAACGCCCCCTTTCTCTCTCTATAAGTATCTCTCTCTAAATCACTGTGCTATTCTCGATTTGAAGAATGCAATGGGTGAGGAAGAACTATTTTATAATAAGGGATTGGGTCTCTATTGTAGAGAATTCCTAATGAGTCTTGGAGTGAGATTAGAAATCCTAAAGTGTAAAGTACAGCCAATATTTTTTTACAAACAAAGTCATTCAATAATACAATATATGCTTAGATTTCTTTGAGTTTTTTTTATAGAAACCAAAATACTCTCACATGCTAAAGATTAGTTATATACACTACTATACTACTTCTATATTGTTTACTTGGTCCCAATTACTAACCTACAAATTTTTCTCTTTTTTTTTGTTCGGCTAATTAATAAATTTTTAAATAAAGAATAAAATCATGTACAAGGAGATTCCATTTTCCATCCTTCTAAAGGAGGAATTATTTTAGTTTTAAGTTTCTTATTTATCCATAAAACTAATAAGAATTTATTAATACTTATATATATATATATATATACATACTCGTATTTATTTATATAAGAAAATATAGGATTTTTTTATTTTTCTGAAATTAACAGTTGTTTAAGTGTGGGCTTAATGGGTATAGAGTAGGAAAGGGACCCAATATAGAACTGCAACTCCTAATATTGTTATTTAAACTCAACTAAATTAGATACTCCCTTCATCTCCAAGATTGTTATTTAAATCCAACTAAATTAGATATTTTCTCCATTTCAAAAAGAGTGTCATCGTAACTCTTCAATTTGTGATAGTCACGGTTTTTCAAAAGAGACTCTTTATGGGACAGATGGAATACAAACTAAAAATCTCGAAGCACAATGTACTTAAGCCCTATAAAGGCTAATAAATAAATAACAATAAATTAATTTAATGCCAAGTCTGGGAATTTGAGTAACTAAATCCAAACACCAATTTGATATTCCCAAACACAAATGATATTATGTAAAATAAACTTGCTATGACTTATTTTGGGTCAACCAAAATATCCCGTGGAGTTTTCGTTTCAGCCCACTGTGCTTTGTTTAGCCGTAACTCATTGAAATTATCCCAGTTATATATGTATATATAATTTACTTAACTTCCACAAAATATGAAAGATTGTTTTGATCAGAAATATTGTTTTGATCACTTAGAACCTGTGGTACTCTTCTTCAGAGCCTTGTATTGTTTTTAAGTAAATATGAAGGTAAAGTAGTAGGAGGAAACACTTGTCAAAATGTTGCTTCAATTTCAGTCTCATGATTATGATTCTGGTGGGTCCAAATTAATAAATCACCGCAGCAGCTATTTGACTATTTCAATATGAAATAGTTTCAGAGGTAACTAGGAAGGAAAATAGTAATAATAAAAAAAAAGTTTCAGAGGTATTTGTTTATTTCTAAAGTGAGAGTGTTTGCATTTCACTCTTGCACCAAATTTTTTTTTTTTTCTTTTTCCCAGTAAGGCACTTTGAGAAAAACATGTAAACAAGGTATAAATTCCTTTTATACTCTCTCTAAATATACGTAAAGTAAATATATATAATATAAATGAAATCATGTTCAACAGATCAGAGTGGCGCAGCGGAAGCGTGGTGGGCCCATAACCCACAGGTCCCAGGATCGAAACCTGGCTCTGATATAAAAGAGTAGCTTCCCTCCCAATTTTTTTGTTCCAACGAGAGATCTAAAATTTCTCACGAGTTTCGCTTCACTTTTTTTTTTCTCTCATTTTTTAAAATCCAAAGATTGGATGTTGATGGACTGTGTGTGATATGACGCTGAAACTCAATGTTTAATAAGTTGTAGTTGGTGTGTTGCAAGTTGCAACAAGTTGAGGACTCTCTTAAAGAAGCTGATGTCTCTCTCCAAACCACATTTGAGTATGTGAGGAGGTAGTTAATAGTGTAGTTGATAGATGAGACTAAACCTATTTTTTCTGATTTTGGTCTCATGTTGCAGTGGACACTGTGTCCCATAACATTTGTGTTGAGGTTGATGTTGATGTTGATGCTAATATATATATATATATATATATATATATATATATGGTCTTGACCTAACTTTCGCCCACAATAAACATCACTTCAACTTGAAGGTCTCATTGAGGTGTTCATTACTCACAAACAGCCACACCAACATCTGTATGGGATACTTATAATATGGACTAACGGAAAAAGTATGACCTGTAAATCCGTGGGGGCGTGGAAGACTTTTTGTTTTGGGAGGAATCGCCTCTTATAATATTGCAACAGAAACATTCGACATATTTTACAAAATTAGCAAACATGAGTTTTTTATGTTTAGAACAAAAACTTAAACCGATAATGTTATTAGAGGAGGAGATATAAATCCCCTAATTAGCATCCTTGGTTTGATTGTTTGGTTTGAAAATTATTTTTAATTAGTTATTAAAATTTTAAACTTGCAAAATTTTTGCACCAAACATATTTTCATGTTTCTGTTTTCAAAAATCTTGTAATAAATATCCGTTACGTAAAAAACAGTTTTAAACGTACTTCAAAATAGAAACATTATTTCTGTTTCCAATCAAAACAAAAATACAAAAAGTTATCAAACCGAACAAGCTCTATTTTGGACTCACAAATGAACAACGGTGCTATCTATTTCACCATGATTATCCATGCAGCACATCAATGTTATTTAGAATGAAAATTCTAACAGTAAACGATAGTGGAAGAAGGGCGTTCACAAGCGTTACACTTTTTCAACTCACCTGTGGAATAAACTTAAACCAAACAAAGTAAACGGACTAGTCACTAGTCAATGTCATTATTTAGTGCTTGCCATTCCAAGCTGTGTCATAAAGAAAAAGGATGATGTGGGCATGTCTCATCACAGTGGGTGTTGATTAGTCAAGCCTTCCCATCAAAACTGTATCATACTTAGAGTTTTGAATCCGTATTCACATATTGATAGGGTACAATTACAAATGGGACCCATCACATTCACATACAATAGAATATTATGGGGGCTGATGTGGAAAGTAGGTTTTTTTTTTTTTTTTTTTGTCCGAATTGAATGGGAAGTCTCAAAGCAAAGTTTTATGCTTAATGTACTCATAAAATCTCGAGATTCTTGATTTTGTTACCGTTGCTACCCAAACTTTTAGAATGAGAGAGCATTCTAATATTCTATACCCCAAACACAAGTAGCATTTCAACTTTAAGATTCGTCTTACATCAAAAGGGTGGATTGCAATTCTTTGGCACTAAGACAAGTATAAATTCTAATAATCAAAGAATAAACCCATAATGGATAATAATATTCTAAATTATTGAAAAAAAAATGGATAATTTCAATTTTATTAAATATCATTACTTCTCATTTCATTTTTTATTTGTATATTTTTCTGTTTTTGTAACCATAAAAGTACAAATTTTTATTACCATTTGAAACTTTTTATTTAACATCCTTTTTTAAATATATACATACAGACACACACACATAGGGTAAAACTTATGATAAGAAGAAAATTTAAGTGAGAAATACAGAAAACAAATGGTGCCTAGCATATGAAAGAAAGTTACAACAACAACACATTATTTGTAGTAAACTAAATGAGTTTTATTTTTTTATTTCGCTTTATTTAAAATTCTATATTTCTCTGTATCTTAGTCTAACATTACCACATCCAAAAGTCGTGGTAATAAAAGAAATCCAGTAATTTTTATGTTGATTTCAATCTTATTACATGTTTTTTTATTTTATTTTAAGCACATATCAACTTTTTAACCCTTCTATGAATTTTGGTTCACCACATATATGTGGTCCAACACCCTATATATAGGATTACCAATTACCAACAGTTTAGCTTTCTCTTTAATTATACAATGACTTGACAACGAAGAACCAAAAAAAAAAAAAATCATTTATATTTAAAAAATTCCAGTGATTTCTTTCTATACAATCACTTTTGAATAATTCATTAGGAAAAGTATGACTCCAACTAAGCAAGAAAAGACAGTGGCTTGTTTGCTTCTATAACGTGTCACCATAATCTTGTTTAATAATGATCCCACAATGATTATTTGTGTATATATATATATATTGATTTGTGGAGCACTTATTCATAATTTAAAAGGAAAATTACATATAAATGGAGTCAAAGTTTCATATTTACTTAGAGACTGAGTCAAAGTTCCATATTTCTCTAAAATGGATTGCTGAGGTGGCACATGATTTTTTACTGTTTAAAAAATTATGGTGCCTAAAATGCCCTTCCCTAATAAAAAAGTAGTACCTTCAGTTCAAAAAAGTAGTACCTTCAGTTCAAAAAAGTAGTACCTTCGGAGAAAAAGTAGTACCTTCGCGAGTGTTTAAAAAACATGGTACCTGAACGCCAAAAAGTAGTACCTTCAGTTCAAAAAAGTAGTACCTTCGAAGAAAAAGTAGTACCTTCGCGGAAGGGTATTTTAGGCATCACAATTTCTAAACAGTAAAAAACCATGTGCCACCTCAGCAATCCATTTTAGAGAAATATGGAACTTTGACTCAACCTCTAAGTAAATATGGAACTTTAACTCCATTTATATGTAATTTTCCCTAATTTAAAAGTCACCCTGTTTTTAGTGGTGTTTTTATCTACTAATTAACAGTTGAAAACCGACAAATGTCACTGTCTTAAATTTTGATTCTTAATCAATCAGCCCCAAAAGTAAACGTTGTAATACGACCGACAATGTTTGCAAGATTTGAGTTAACAGCAACTATTAGCTCATTCATTTTTTATTAAATCATTACATAGACAGAAGACATCTAACCAAATAATTAACAAGTTTCAAATGAATAAAATACACAAGTATTATGCATGCGCAAAACACATGCAAATCATTACTGATTTTTAATTTCGGTTTTTTATTTATTTATCCATAATGGTAATGCTAATTCTTAGAGTATGTACAATCTTACCGTTTAATGCACCAGACAATTACTTTAAAAAATAATAATAATAATAATAATAATTTAGTGACTAATAAAATATGTGTAATTACCATGAAGTGTGTCCGGAGTTTAGGGTTTCTTTGGTTAGGTAAAAACAGATAGAAAAGAAAGAGAAAGAGAAAATTTTTAAATTTTGTTAAAGTTTTGATAGATAGAAAGAGAAGGAAAAATTTAGTTTCTCGCATTAAGTATTTTTTTTCAAAAAAATATCACCAAAAAATAAACGAAAATTATTTATTTGTCGTTCCTATTTTACCCAAATTATACATTTATATATGCAGAATATTAATGATAATTTGAGTAAAATTGCTTAAAATAGATCCTGCTTCTAAATAGAATTTTTTATTTTTTTTAATTGTCTGTTCTATGTTGTAATTCTAGCCACTCATAATCCGTATATATATATATATATATATATATATATATATATATATATATATATATATAACTATATATATATATATATATAGTTATTTATTTATGTTGTGAAATAATTTATTTTTCTCACAAAGAGTAGTATTGCCTCTTTATCTCTAATTTTTTATTATTTTTAATTTGTTTATCTTAAACTAATAATTAGTTTTACTTAAGAAAATATTATGAAGCCTTATTCTAAATATAAATAATAGAAATGAATATAAACAATTATATATTTGAATTTAATAATCCATCATATTACTTTATAAGGATGGTTTTAGTTTGCATAATCACTTTCTTTTCACTTTCATGCTATCCAAACTAACAAATTAATATTTTTCTACATTTTTTTTAAATAAATTTTCATATACATGCTAGAAATGAGAGATGGCATATTGGTTGTGAGAAAATGACTCAAGAGAGCAGTGGCGTAGCCAGAAATTTCCTTCAGTAAGGGCAATTTTTAATAACAATAATATATATAATTTGAACCAAAATAATATATGTAAAAATTAAAACATTGATTCATAATATTTTTATTCAGTACATTCACAACTGACCTCAACGATTTTTTATATTCGGAAAGCGTTGAATAATAACATCATTGTCAACAGTACTAAATATGTCTTTCTCAATATACATAACCATCATATCATTCATCCATTGGTCTTCCGTTCAATTGCGCAATTGAGTTTTAAAATATTCATGGCATAATAATCATAAATTTAGATGATGATATATATATATCAGATTACCTATCTCCACATTACAGTATTTGTTTAGATTTTGTGAATTTTTAAAATGTTGAAGACTCGCTCAAAGAAAAATGTTGAAGACTGAAAATGTAAAGAAAATAACACATTTGTTTGTGGTAAATTCAAAAGTGTGAAAAGAATATTTTGTATTTTTTTGAGAAAGTGGGAAAGAATATAATATTTTGAGGAAGTAGAAAAAAAAATATCATATTTTTTGAAAAAATTATATTCCTTATATTTTTTTTTAGTGTAATACCGTGAATGGTCATTTGGTTATATGTATATATAAGTACACTATCAAATTTTAGTGGGGACAATTATACAAATATAAAAATCTTTCTATATAAAATTAAAAGTTCAATGAGGACAGCTACCTCCACTTGTTCCTATGTGGCTACGCCACTGCAACAGAGTGACCTTGTCCCAAACCATAATATACACCAAGACATTTTTGTTAATATATTTTATTTTTTATTTTTTAATTTTATTTTAAACTCATGACATTTTATTTATTTATTTTTTAATGGTAAAACTCATGACATATTGATTGTGTAAAAAAGTAAGTTAAGAAAAGTGGCGCTGGCAGTGAACAAGGGTGGATGGTTTAAATTATCCTTATTATTATTGAGATGACAAAAATATTTATTGTTATTTATACAATAATGTAGACGTCTCACTATCATTTCAAATAATTCTGTATAATACCTCATTATCACTTAAAAAAAAACCTATTTAAAATATGCTGCAAGAAATAGCTTGAACAAATTATTTTGCTCAAATTTGCGAATTCGTATGTATGAACTCGAATTGAACCTGTGGACTGTATAAGTATCCTGAAGAATAAGTCCCTAGATAAAAAAATATGCCAAGCTTTCCATACTAGAAATTTCAAATGCAAACTATTGACAAATCAAAATTCTATCTTATGTTTTTTTTTTTTTTTGATACACATTGCATTACATTTATTTCAAAATTTCACCACTTTAAATAGTAGAATTCACCATTGTAATGATAAAATGAAACCAATTAAAGTTAAATTTCGCCATTTAAAATTGTGAATTCAAAGTACAAAAAATCTCCATAAGTGGGTACGCTGTTAATTCGCGCAGCACGATTAGGTGCATTATTGACTCTAAACTGTACAAGAATTGAATACAACGTTGTGGTGTTGAAAAAGGATAATACTGTCTTTTTCGTCGAGAAGGTGTTTCCCACTCGTATTGCAAATGGCCAACAAAAGAAGGAGAAAAGAGAGAGAAAAGAAATAGAGAAAAAAAGCATATGCCCCGTGTGTTTGTCCATGAGAGAGAGAGAGAGAGAGTCGGTGGATCGAGCAAAGGAAAGAGAAAGCAAAAAAAGAGGAAAGCGTTAACTGAGCACATTCCTTACTGAAATTACAGGTATGACCCTAAGCTCCGATCTAATACAATAAATCACTAATAAATTAAGATAAAGAGGACTCCAAGTTAGTGTTTTAAAAACAAGCACTACATGGGCAACATTGTCCACTAATTAAAGTCACCCCCTAAAGTGAATTCCACTGCCACGTGGCATTCTTTACCTCAAGAAACCTCCCTAGCAAAGGAAAAAGAAAAGGAAATGGTAACCCTTTCTGACATCATCAAACAGAGCATCCAGATCTTGCAGCAGAAAGAAGCTTCCTTCCCCTCACTCTCTCTCTATCTCTTCCTAACTTTCTCTCTCTAGCGTAACAAAACCAGAGATGAATTGGGTGGAACAAGACAACATAAGAGAAGAAGAAGCCCACAAAGTAACACCATGAGAGCTCATCATACGAGCCTCCACTTTTTGATCCTATCATTGACTATACTAGCTTTCACACTCCAATTCACAACCGGACTGGCCAAAATTCAAGATTTGATTAGAACTCACAGGAGAATTCTACACCAGCCTTTATATCCGGCGAGTTCAGCACCGCCACCAGCGGAAGCGCCACCGCCTCCGCCACCTGACAGCCCGACTTTCCCCAACCCAGACCAGCCATTTTTCCCGGAGGTCCCCACCGGGACAACCCCGGATCAGGCGCAAACACCGCCGGCACCGGCCAATGGCACGGCGGTGCCAAACCCAATTGCCACTCAGCCAACCAAACCTGCCAAGAAAGTGGCAATTGCTATATCAGTTGGGATTGTCACGCTGGGCATGTTATCAGCATTGGCATTCTATCTCTACAAGCACAGAGTGAAACACCCAAGTGACACACAGAAGCTCGTCGGAGGCAGCAACTCACAGGGACTTCAAGAAGAATCAAGAATTCAACCGTCTACTTTTCTGTATATCGGAACGGTGGAACCAGCGAACCGGAGATCGGTCAATGAGGCTAACGCTAATGAAGCAAATGGGTCGCCTTACCGGAAATTGAACTCCGTAAAGAGGTCGGATCGGTACAGGCCAAGTCCTGATCTCCAGCCGCTTCCACCACTGACTAAGCCTCCTCTTCCAACCATGAATTCGCCACCTCCGATGTCCTCGTCGGACGAGGAGAGTCACGAGACGACGTTTTACACGCCGCACGGCTCTTTGGCCGAAAAAGATGAAGGGTCTTACACGCCCAATTCACGCCATAGCTATCCGAACAACAACACTGGCACTAGCTTGGTGTGTCAGGCCAAAGCTGAACGCGATGTTACTAGTCCTCCTGTTCCTCATTCCAAAAGAACTTCACCCAAATCGCGCCTTTCAGCTTCGTCCCCGGATACTAAACTTAGTATTATACCATCAATTAAGCAACCTCCACCACCGCCGCCGCCACCACCGCCGCCGCCATATTCCCAGTTGCTACTAAAGTCGTCTGTTCAAGCTCAAGTTGAGTATAGTCCACCGACAATGTCATATTCTCCAAAAAGACCAAAATTTTCTTCACCACCACCACCACCAAATATGGCGCGTCTTCATTCAATAAACAATCAATCCCCACAGGCATCCAAAATCCCAGTTCCGCCGCCTCCACCACCGCCATCAATGCTGCAGAAATTTGGATATTCGGAAACAAGTGTCCTCTCAACCCCTGCCCAAGATTTGACAAAGCCACAATTAAGGATTCCTAGTCCCAAAGTAGCTTCTGGGGTTGAGAAAACAAGGCCTGTTGTTGATGAAGTTAGCAGAGGTGCCAGTTCTTCAGAGAGGAATGATGCTGATGATGCGGATGGATCAAAACCCAAATTGAAGGCTCTGCATTGGGATAAAGTAAGGGCAACTTCAGACCGAGCAACGGTGTGGGACCAGCTGAAATCGAGCTCCTTTCAGTAAGTACAAATAGCAAATATCTTATGGTAGAAGTTTATACTGGTGTACTATTTGTGATCATAGAGACCTTTTGGATTGTTTGTAGATTGAATGAGGACATGATGGAGACTCTTTTTGGATGTAATTCCGCTAATTCGGTTCCAAAAGAAGCGACTAGGAGATCAGTTCTTCCTCCTGTGGAACAGGAGAACAGAGTTTTGGACCCAAAGAAGTCACAGAACATAGCTATTCTGTTAAGAGCATTGAATGTGACGAGGGACGAGGTCTGCGATGCACTTCTAGACGGTATGTTATTTACTCACTGATATGCCTAATCAGAAAAGTGCATATAGGACATTTTCTGCATGAAAGATCACCATAGAATAAGTCTATAAAAGAAATAGAAGTTTACATCGTCTTAAATCAGGAGGGCCAACATGTTTGTAGGAAATGCAAGGTGAATGAAGACAAGATAAAAATTTACATTTACCAAACTTGTAGTGTAAAATATGGGGGCTTCAACTACCTATTATGTAGTAGGTAGCTGGTGTGTCTAAGGTACTTAATACACCAGTTCTTGCATACTCCAAATGACACAAGAACTCAAACTTATCTTATTTACAAGCCAAATTGGAAACAAAGAACAGAAGAAAAAGGTTAATGTTGCAGTGCCACTGTCTACACATGGTGAATCACCAGAACAGAGATTGAAAAACTATAAAGCTTTCGAAAACCTTTATGATCAAATGATTAGAGCTAATTTGCAAACAATTAAGGTAGTTAAAAAACCGTAACATAAATTCTCAAAAAAAAAAAAAAAAAATCATCAAGGCATCTACCTACAAGTTTATTTCTGCTGACTCACTCCTCACCTATTGAAGAAGTGATAATTAGCTAATTAGACAATCTATTCAGCACACTCTTCTCAAGTTCAAATAGTGATTCTTTCTATATAATACTTGAAGCATGATACTTAGGACTGCAAATCTGAGCGATTTGTTAGACCGAAGGCATTCAAGTCATTGATTACATGCAAATTGGATTACACGGGGTCCCACTTGCATGTAATCAATGCCTTTCAAGCCATCGGCCTAACAAATAGGTCAGATTTGTGGACTTAACAATCATTTTCCATAATACTTTTACAATCTTCTCCCAACTATATATGATTGACAATTGTGCTTGATTTCACCAAAGGTTTCTGGAGCAAAGTTCTAGTTCAAGTCTTTGTTGACATCATGAACTATTTGTTTCATTGCTATAAATGATTTTCAATGAATCAACAGTTTCACATAATGAGAAAAGGTCCATTCCCTTCAACTGTTTCCTTATTCCCTTTCTCCTCTTCAGCTGTTTTGTTTCCTACAGTTCTCAATCACTTGAGAATATAGATGAGATATTCGTGAATGAATTGAGTTGGGTAAATGAGCACTCTTAGTGTGAGAACTAAGGTATCATCTCAACAGTCAGCACTCTTGACCAGGCAAAGGCTCAATAGGCAAGTATAGCAGGACATTGCTCTAGATATATAGACTAATAGACGGATAGATTAATACATTGCAGAAATGTTTATGTAGTAGTCAAATCAAATTCAAAGTGCTTTGAATTTAACACAATGAATAAGTTTCTAGTTTTCAGGACACATCAAAAATATATCTGATAAACTCTCTGAATTATGTTTTTCCACCTTTAAAATGACATTGTTCAAATTTTCTTTTGGCAACTTTATACCTTCCAAGCTATCTATTTGCTATTCTGTTGCGAACTTGCGACCAGAAGTAATTGCAAGGTTACCCTATATATTGCCTTGAAAAATCATTCCAATGTTGCTGTGTTGGTCTTCCTATTATTGAATAGTCATAAGAACTCAAAACAGAGATTGTATCTCACATATTGTATTTGATTAGTTTAGTTGTTATACATTTGTGTATGAATCTACATGGATTAAGAAAATTCCTTATAATTATATATCAAGGTTGAAAGCATACTATATGCATGCACACTGAATGCTCAGAGAGTTACAATAACGGGATCATCATAACCTAGTAGAATTAATCCTGGAAAGCAGTTGTCAGATAAATTGGCATGACAAACTGCCATTTTAAATGCAATGCCCAAACATTTATGTCCTTTTGTTATTCTACTATACTTTTGGGTGGGTCCTGCACATTCAGATTTTTTCACCACATTTTGTGGTGCAACAGGAAACCCAGAAGGCTTGGGTGCTGAGCTTTTGGAAACTTTGGTGAAGATGGCTCCAACAAAGGAGGAAGAGATAAAACTTAAAGATTACAGTGGAGACATCTCAAAATTAGGGTCTGCAGAGCGATTTCTCAAGGCAGTACTTGATATACCATTTGCCTTTAAAAGAGTTGAAGCCATGCTCTACAGAGAAAATTTTGATACGGAAGTAAAATACTTGAGGAAGTCTTTTCAGACCCTAGAGGTAATTTTTTAGACAAGGCTACTTAATCAATTCCTTTGCTGAAATTTCTAGCTATCAGTTTTCTTCTGTAACATTGCCCTGTTTTCTTGACTCTCCCGTTTTGTCAAACAAATGACTTCCACAAATTAGCTCTTCAATTTTTTATTAATCATATTTGAAGCAACTTTTCTTAAAGGATTTTTTTCATGAGATGTAACTTATCATGAATGACATACCTCAGGTAGCCAGTGAAGAACTGAAGAACAGCCGGTTATTCCTAAAACTTCTTGAAGCTGTTCTCAGGACAGGAAACAGAATGAATGTTGGCACTAATCGTGGTGATGCTATAGCTTTTAAACTCGATACACTGTTAAAATTAGTGGATATAAAGGGAACAGATGGAAAAACAACTTTGCTCCACTTTGTAGTCCAAGAGATTATCAGATTGGAAGGTGCGGGTTCTGATTCTATTACTGAAAACCTCCCAAACCAAATGAATTCCAAAGTGAAGGAGGAGGATTTCAAGAAGCGGGGATTGCAAGTTGTTGCAGGGTTAAGCAGAGAACTTGGCAACGTCAAAAAAGCGGCAGGAATGGACTCAGATGTCTTGAGTAGCTATGTGTCAAAGCTTGAAATGGGGCTTGAGAAAGTACGTCTCGTTTTGCAATATGAGAAGCCAAACATGCCTGGGAAATTCTTTGCATCAATGAAAATGTTTCTTAGAGAGGCCGATGAGGAAATCAGTAGCATTAAGGCTGATGAGAAAAAGGCCTTAGCCCTGGTTAAAGAGGTCACAGAGTATTTTCATGGCAATGCTGCGAAAGAGGAAGCCCACCCTTTCAGAATCTTCATGATTGTAAGAGATTTTCTCTCTGTACTGGATCATGTGTGCAAGGATGTAGGGAGGATGCAGGATACGTCAATGGTGGGATCTGCTAGATCATTCCGGATACCTGCAACTGCATCACTACCCGTACTTAATAGATATAACGTGAGACAGGATACGAGTTCAGATGAGGAAAGCTCGTCACCGTGAGAATATGTTAATATGATGCACTCCAATTTCAAGGGGATACTGTCATTGTTCCGAACTCATTTTGGATCGAAGCAGTGTTGTTGATATCTCTCTCTTTCTTTTGTTAAAAGCATGTCAAAGGAGTAGGATGATTGGGAAGTGAAAACCACTACAGAAGGGGCCTTCATTGTCAAGAGAATTCCACACCGTGCACACAAGGACAACTCTCACATTGTAGATTCTAGCTTCGTTCGTTCAAATCAAGAAAAAGGTGTTTGTGGCATGGAATGGCATTATGGGAAAGTCTACAGAATTGAAGGGCTGGATACCAAATAAAAAGAAGAACAAGAATAAGGAGTTGTGCACAAGAGGGCGACATCAAAATGATCAACATTCAACACCCAGCAACAAGAAACCCTAAATCGCATAATGAAGGAAAGAACGCTTCTTTTTCCCTCTCCAACACAAATTAGCACAGTCAAAAGATAGTCTTCTTCACTTAAACACATACTAGAGAAAATAATGTTTTGATGTCAGACAATGCATAAATCTGAATTTTATTTATATCTCTTTCATAATTAGCAACCATGTTTGAAGCTTTTTGTCTCTTTTTTTTTCCCTTCCGGAAATTAAGCCTTAAATCCTTTGTCATTCTCGTTTGAGTTTTAAGCTGCTATGTGACTGATCATGGTGTATTGAGCTAACAAACGGCCCATCTATTTACTTTTGCAAAACCATGGAGACAGCATTGAAAGTTGAAACTAAAGAAAATATGATAGTTCAGGCATACCTCCAAATCTAACATGTTGATTTAGCCCTGAAAGTTGCACAAGAAATTTATGTATACTCACACACAAGGTGATGAGCACCACATGACTGTAAAAATGTCTCTGTAGAAGTGGTTTCAGAACATCAACATTCCAAAAAGCAAGAAGAAGAGAATGGTAGTATATGGAAACTAATACAAATTCATAACCACTCTGAAGTAAAATCCTGGACATGTGTTCATGATTTAGTGCCTAAAATAAAATGTTATGACTGTGATTGAAGTGTGAGCTATTGAACAGTTACTATAGCTGGAAAATTTTAGATGGGAATGAGATAAAAAAAGAAAACCAAGATAGGGAAGTAAATTAAAGGGACATACCAAATAGGGATGAGAGGTTTGTCTTTCTGATATCTGCAATCTGCCATGGCCACAATCTACCAAATGGGTAAGCATTAAGCAAAGGTGGGAACACATTCTGAATTAACAAAAAAGTTTGTTGGTTGAATAGGTGGGGACCTCCTTTCATGCCAAAAAGAATGTAAGGGACAATGCTGTATCTCATTAATGTTAGCATGGGCCATCTCATTTTCTGCAAGTGTTATTTAAAGTAGTCACAAGTGTTTTTTTAATGGGAGTATATTTTCAGATATATATATTGATGGATTGGCATTTTTAAGAGAGTTAAAAATAATAATACCAACCACCAAACCAAAGGGATTGCTAAGAACAGTATCATCCACCAGTCATTAGATGGTGTTGGTTTTACAGTAAATGCTATCTCATTTGACCGTTGGATTAGACTTGCTACCTCTTGACATTTTTTTTTTTCAATTTCAAATAACATATAACATTTCTCACATTTAAAAAAAAAAAAAAATTACTTCAATATTTTTAGTCAATTTTATATTTGTAGATGCTATACATAGTATATATTTATTACTTTGCTAACCTTATTATTTTTAAATTTTCATAATTTTTAGATTTTAAAAGACCTTGTATGCAATGCATCTTCTTTTTTTTTTTTTTTTCTTTTGTTTGTTTCCGGAAGGTAATATTTGTATAAATGCAGAACAATTAGAAAGAGATAACGAAGGCCAAATCCTTCAACTATGGCCCAGCCCTCGAACAATGGACAGGCCCAAACAAAACAACAGGGACTAAGCCCATCAGCAAACTACAAAGGCACAAAGACATCTCTAGTCTAGTTTGCCCTAGACTATCCATGTCTAAACCTTTCATTCGATCCGGTGAACACAGAGGCTAGGGCTAGAAGCCTTAATTTGATCAATCCGGCGGTGGCCGGACAAACGATAGGTCGCTGATTCAAATCTCTACCTCAGATGAACCACATTTTGTAATTAGCATTGCTATATGATTAGAATGTGATTTTTTATATATATTTTATTTCTTTCTTATTATTTTATTTAGGGATGTTCAAATAATTTTTCAATCCGCTAAACCGAATCAATCTGATCTGATCTGATCTGTGCGGTTCGGTTTGGTTTTCTAGTGTCGTGGTTCAATGATGGATTGAAAAATTAGTAATCCGTAGTGACCGGATCGGTTAACAAATTAGGTGCTAAAAAAACTGAACCGATCTGATACAGAATACATTATTGATGTTTTTGTTTTCTTTAATCATTAAGTTTTCAAAAGTTTTATTGTTTCTTTAATCCCAAGATGCTTTACTGCTTACACTTTTTAGTTTTTATATTCCTTTTATTTGCAAGTCTGGCCTCCCATCAAGTCTCATTTTGCTATGCTCAGTCTCTTATGGAACCCGTATAAGTAAGCATCTCCAATATACATTGGCGATCATTCATTTCCTCTTCATTTAGAAAAAAGTCTTGATTGCTCCATCTTGTCACTTAGATTCAGTTCTACTTTGTCATTTTCATAGCCCATTTATTAATATGTGGTCTTTAGAAATTCAGATTCTCTTTTTCCCTTTAAATTCATGCATGACTCAAACGAAAATAGTATTTTGCCTCTAATTTCAGTTTTCTTAGTTGTGTTCTGTTAAGTCCAATCCGTGGGAACCATCGGTTTGGTTCGAATTGAGAGTCCCCACGGATCAGTTCGGTTTCAGATTTAACCAATCCGTGAGAACTGAATTAGTTTGAATTTTATCCAAAATCGAACCGTGATCAACCCTAATTTTATTTGAGGGAAGAGAATGGACATTGGACACGCATACATTTCAGAAAGGGAAAATGTTGGGGGAAGAAGTGATTCTTTGCTTCATAATATGAATTCAGATACAATGGATCATCACTGGAACATTTGGAACAATAATGTCCTAATTTTTTCTAATTACACAAAAATGTACAACAAAAGCGGATCATATGAGACCCGGCCACTCAATCATGAATATACCGATGAAAAGAATGGCGCTCCAGATATGCTCTTTGTTCTCAAGATCTTTCTTACCAAAATTCTCCACTTCACATCATCCTTCTTGTTCTGTTTCTTAATCCTCTCCTTAAAGTTCCTGAAACCGCGAAATTTTATCCAGATTAGTGGAAAGTTTTAGCTAACTTCTGTAAGAGTGGAAAAATGTGGAATACTACAACATTCTTTCCATAGGGTGGAAGGTTTAAACTGCTAAGGCCAATGACATCTGCTCTATAATATCAATGCAATTTTGCACCTGTTTTAGCTTAACTGAACCTAAATCATTCATGCTACGGTAGATGGAAGGAAAAAGAAAAATTATGAACAAGTACATAAAACACAAACACGAAAGAGGTTTAGCAGGCGCACCAGCACAAAGGAACTCTACACACATCCGAATCGGCACAGAGACGGGAATGTAATTCCAAGAGCTGCCACATTCTCTTGCAATGAATGCAGCCACCGGGGACTCTCATCTTGCAACCAGCAAAGTGACGGACTAGCAACTCCAGTGCCTTGCAAGCTGCAAAATTGCAAGGTGGCTGATCACCTTTTAACAACTTATCGTGTGGACCAATGGTCCGACAACCATCCTTGTATATATGAACAAGAGCTTCCATTGCCTCATATAATTGTAAATAGATCTTCCTCTCATTTATCTTTCTCATCTGTACCTTTTGCATCTGAAAGTGAAAATCAACACGTTGCACAAATCTTAAATAAGAATGTGGAAGGAATTTTAACATGAATTACCATTCTGTTTTACCAAGCAACGGAAAATAAATAAATACTTACGGTTTCTTCTTCAATCAATGACTGCATGAGTTCCTTTTCCAGCACCGGGTGGCTCTCTTTCATCACTTTCCATCCGTCTGTGGCTGAAACAGCCTTGAAACTCTTCAGAATCAAACGGTGACAAACAAGAGTAAGCCGAGGGGCATCGCACAATAGTGCAAGCTGTAAGATATCAACCACATTTTCTATAGTGAGCAATCCCTCTTCTAGCCGCAGTATACACAATTCCTTCAACCGGGGAACAACATAAGCATGTGACAGGACCAACAAATGCAAGATGTATTCCTCCATTTCTTCTTGCTCAATGCTACACATGGAACACCAATAACAATTAGCACAAAGAAGAATTTTGTTAATTACAGTAGTGACTGGTGACAACAAGAATCACAGTAGCATAAATTTCAGCCTCTTCTTACGATTTATAAGTCCTCCATGACCATGACAACAAAATTTGAGTGAAGATGGTCAGAGATGTTGAAATTGTCATTTCATGCGAAAGCCCTCAAAAACAATCAAGTTAAAGAGTTCCTTTATATACAAGTAATTGGGGCAGCAAGAAATATTCCAAAAAACACAGAATGAAGAGACACCAATATTGGTCATGGAACTCCATTAATTGAAAACTCGAACTGCCACTTACCAGGAAGAGTACAGGAACCGTATGAAAACTCGAACTGCTTCATATGGAACTCCATTAATTGAGAATGATCGATGATGACCACGTTTTTTCAACTGCTTAAACATGCTTTTGAAAACTGGAGAAGCCATGCCCTGTTACAGTGAGAAACTAATATTTATACCTTTAAAATACCATGTTTTTTTTTGTCAATACAATATTTTAAGTCCGCATTTTAATGGAAAAAATAAAATCCTAACCCAGGTAACACACTTCACCACGAAAGAAGTGGGCATGCTTATGGTAGCAGATCATATACCAGTGGAACGATGCAGGGCCATTCAAGAGAAATAACATTCAGCACATCTTTTTTAGATTGTGTATTCATGACTTTTGTGTCTGTCTCTTGTGAGGTAGAAATAGGTAGCAACACAAATTATAAATCTCAACCCTAAGGGCTTAACTCAAAGCAACATATACTTTTCTTCCCCATGTAATAAACTTGAACTGCTTTTGTTTATATATAAATCATGAATGATCAGATCTAGCAAAATCATATTAATAATGAGTTTTTCATGTAAGTTATGTCCGTAAGTTGTTTATCCAGTCAATTTCCTCCTCATATTTATTATATTCCTCCATTTAGGATCCTACTGATCCTATGGAAGAGCTTTTCATGTAGCTACTCAATATCTGAGTAAGATTGTGAAGTTGATTATTACATGATCAAGTATGTTCTAAGTAATTCCGGACCTTGTTAATGGTGTTTATCTCCAATATATAATCTGTACACCGTTTACAAACACATAATAACGGATCTAATTCCCCTCTATATTTAACAGATCTGTAATATAAGAACTTACAAGAATACTAGCATGTGCATAGATGATGCCACCATTAATAGTATTAATAGAAACATCTGCTCTGTAACCTTCATCAAAGAGGCGATCCCATAAATCCCTTGTTGCTGTAGTCACAAAGCCGCATCTTCTTAGAGATGATCCATTCATCACCAAACCCTTTGAAGGATAACCGGTTGTTGAGGGCTGCGGTAATGGAGGTGGCACCGGAGAATTTCTCTTGCCAAATAGGGGAGATTCTTCAAAGCCGCCGTCCATCTTTCCTACCAGTTTATAGGTTTCCTTCTGCAAAACAGAAATTCAAAATCACTTTTCAATTGTGCAAATATGGGAGCTCTGTAGTCGAGAACAAACAAGCTATGATTCGGAAACAACTAACAGAAATATATTATATGTTGATATTAATGTGAATTGTATGAGAATAACATGATTGCATTGGATCTGAAATGAATGTGAATGATACTTATTAGAGGTCCAACACATATGGCATAATTAGAGAGTAATCAATGGACTATTTGGTTCAATTATCTACAGACACCTTTCAAGAACTCGAAAAACAGAAAATGTTTTAAAAATAACTACAAAAGAATGTTCTCTCTTCATATAATAGTTCCGGAAAAATGTCAACCAAATGAATTTTCAAAATGCTTTTGAAATTTGGTTCAATTTACTGTTTTCTCATGCGTTGCATTTCAAAGTAAGCAATTACTGATTAAAAGAAAGAAGAAAAGCAAGAAAAATATTTTCCAGAAGGTTAACCAGAAATTGCATTATTGGTTTCTAGGTGTGCAAAAATTATTTCTGGAATTTCAAAGACTACCCTCTTTCTATGATCTCAGCTAAGAATTTAATTGAATCCATAACCACAAATTGAGATAGATATTTCTCTAAATCAATCAATAGGAAGTATCAAACCTAAATTCCTAAATAGATATAAAGATTTGGATTCAAAGGTTTGTTTTTTTTTTTTTTTTTTTTTCTTTCTTTTCCCCTCAATTTTTAAAAGAATAAAAGAAAATGGAAAGTAGAGAAAACAGAACACATTACCTTTATTTGTTTTTTTCTTCTCTTTCAGAAGAAGCACACAACAGGAGAATGGTGAAATCTGAAATCACTTCCTTCCTGATCTCGTGTCTCTAAATGCCTCCTCAACCCAACTATATATATAATATATATTACATGTATCACATAAACACAATATATATATATATATATATATATTCAACACACTGACAAGAAACAACAGGAGATTGTCCTTTTACACTACGAGAAAGAAAGGGTTGATTGGATCTCCTTGGCATAAGAAAGAGACTGGAAGATAACCCCCAATATATTTTGTTGTTTAATATTTTGACAGACGACATAAATTTATACACGGTCACAATTCGATCAAGACGATGATTCGTGTCCTCGTCAGCCTCAAAGCCAAGAACACCGCACGTTTCATTTTCGTGGCATTTTTTAATACTCCGTATAAATATACATTTACACATATATTGTTATACATGTAAAACTCACGCGCTTTCCCGGGTTTTCTACTTTAACCTAGCATCGTTGGTTGCAAAAACCACGTACAACATGTCTGTGTTTGTGTGTGTACGGTGTACAATAATTCATATATATAAAACTAACATTCCTAAGTCCGCACATCACATGATTGGAATTGCAAGTTACCTAAGTGTGATTTGATCTGCCTTTCTTCTTCGCACTCAGTAGTAGTGAACTAGTGATAGATAGGAATGACAAGTTGCCAAGTTGGCAAGTTGTGTGGATGATAAAAAAAAATCTAAGATACAACTGTGTTTTAACTGGCATTTGTTGGTTTTTATTTATTTTTATTTTTTATTTTGTTTGTTTCAAAATTTTCAGGGCTTTTTAGCATTAGCATAGTCACGGTCAAAATTTGTCCATTTTTAGGCACTTGCTGGTCAAACACAACAAATGCCAGTACACCCAATAGACGGCGTAATTTCAAGCTGACGTGGGTGTGACTTGGGAAACCCAATCCAACCGACAACCTAATCCAAATCCACATTATTGGAATTACTGAGTTAGGTGTGTTTGGTAAACAAATTACTTTCGATTAAATAGTTGTTCACTTTAAAAATTGTCATAATTATTCTGGAATGGAAGTTTTAATAAATACAAAAATTTTACGAGCTAAATTTTAAGGGTTGAGTTATTAAGTAATAATTAAAAATAAATAAAATAATAATAATTTTTAAAAAAATTTATTTTTCATTATTCAACATTCATTAATAAGTAATGTTTTCTTTACTTAAAATCTTAAAATTTGATTTCATTTTAAGTGATATTGATCAAGTTGAGCGCAGTAAGACACGGCTAAATTCGGTATGGTTAAGATTTTTTTTGAAATATTATTATTTAAATACTACTAATAATAAAATGACTTGAGTTGACTCGTCAAACAATGGTTGTGTAATCCTAAAACCAAAATTGGGATTAGATTGAAATTTTACAACTGATACCCAATTGGAATAACAAGAAGAGTTTGTTACTACAACTATGGTTGGTCTTTTTCAATTAAGCAAATAACTAGGACTAACCACTAAACGATTCTCATGTTTTCTAAAAAAACATAGCATTAGAATTTGACCTTACAATCTTTCTCATACGAAACATGAGGATCAAATGGAAGATGAGCAACACTTCAACATAATCGACTAATAGAGAAAAAAAAAATGATTTTTAACACTTCAACAGTCAACGAGTCTCAAACTAAACTCAATGATCAATATTTACCAGCTCTGCTTGTGACATGTCATTTTTTTTTTTTTTTTTTTTTTGGCCATGTTCCATCGTTTGCAGCTCCCCATTTTGTATTTTTCAGTTCTAGAAAGACAGTCGATTTTTTTGGAATTTGTTAGTGCTGGAGTCCAACTCGGATTTAACTAATTTTGTTTATAGTTGTCTTATTTTAGTAATCAGGTTATTATTTCTATTTTTTTTTTTTTTATGGTGATTTTAAGAGAGATTGTCAAATTGAACTTGTGATTTCCAAATACATTAAGGTTGTGTTCGGTTAAATTTGAAATTGGTAGAATATGAAAAAAATAATTAAAAAAATTAAATTAAATTATTTTTAACTTCCACCAATTTTGATTTTGAGACTCCAATTTTATGCATCAATTAAGAGATTTAGAAAATATTTAATTGCGGAAAGTGATAAGTCCACACAAACAGTTGAAGAATAATAGTGTATCAAATGAGTTAAAAGAAAACAAAAAGTCGTGATCACCATTCTGAATTTGTGATCAACTTGCCTTGGCCCATTCGAATGGGGATAAGCAACACATGCACACATCTAAGCATTCCTAACAAACACACATTTATATAAGTCATGGTTCCTATCAAATCCATTTTTTAAAGTGATTTGGCCTACCTTTTGACTGTTACATTTTATTTTAATGTGTCTTTTTCTTTTTATTAATGTCATATAATCATATTTTCTCTTATTTTGTAATCAATAACTACCACTACTAATTTTTTTTCTTGACATGTTTTCCACCGATCAATTCTCCTTTAATTATTCATATCTTCAATTGCAATATTCTATGTTCATATACCAAACAAAAGAGAAATTCAACTTGCATGCCAAGTGAATACCATAGCTGTCAAATATCTTCACACAATGACAAAACTTGAATCAATTAATAGAAAATGAAAGCCCCTGCAGGTGAAAGGAACTCTAAAGGTTCGATAAATCCTACTTATTATCACGACTTTAGATATATTAATGATATTACGATGATATCAGTCTCTATTTATATAAATCAATCATTATAATTGTTTGACTATCGAATTTCAAATCCCCTATAGTGCTTAAAATGAATAGTCACATATAAAGAATTGTGTTGGTTGATGGAACCAACACATCTCGGCATGTATGAATTGAAACGGCTTCAATCCTCACTATATATATGCGTAAGAGGCTTGAAGTCCATCATCTGTTTTCGTAGACAAATGAGATGGTCAGTGACGGACCAAGCATTTTTTTTAGGGGGACGTCGTCGAAGAAAAAAAAAATTGTAGACAAATTTTTATTTTTATATTTTTTATGAAGTGGGGGTATTTGTGAATTTTTAACTAAAACTTTAGGTAATAATATAAATTAGAAAAATCTAGCGGAGAAATAAGTGAGATAAAAATGTGAAGGGGGCATTTTAAATAATTGAGTAGGGCCATTTTTTTTTAATTTTAACTAAAATTATAGGTAATAATGTAATTTAAAAAAAGTCCAGTGGGGGCACCTGAACTGGGTCCGTGCCTGGAGATGGTTGAAGATCGTTTCTGCTATAGTTTTCTTCAAATTGACTTTTTATATCTAGGTACGTTTCCTATTTCAATTTATACATTGGAACCATGTGTTTTATATATTGTTGAAATTTCTTACAAGGAACTCTAAAAGTTCGATGAATCCTTCTGATTATCATGACGCTAGAAATATTAATGACATTATGATGACGTCAGTCTCCATTCTCAACTATCGAACTTCAATTCATTTTCAAATCCCCCGCAATACTATTCCTCTTTGTGTTGTTCACATGTTAACATGCTTAAAATTAAGAATGCAACATAACTAAATCGAGAATTGAAATAATGGCGTTGCATTCTTGATTGATCTTGTTGCATAGTCAAGTTAGTAGTGTTGCATCTTTAATCTAATAGTGTTGCAGCAATAATTGATGGTATTTGTATTTCCAATTTAATGTATTGCGTCATTCATTTAATCATGTTACAAATGTCACAACAGGGTACGAATTAATGAGCTAGAAAATTTTGTGAACTGAATTCACCAAATGTTGGTGTTAGTGGAGGCGGGAATGAAACCCAAGTTTTAGAGGGAATCGTATCGTTACATGCTCTTGATGCTTTTGAAACTACAAAAGGAAAGGAAAGGAAAAGGGAAAAGGGAAAAGGGAAAGGGGAAAGGGGAAAAGGTTTAGTAAATCAGAAACAAAAGATCTTTACAAAAGAAAAGTAAATATGAGGGACACGAGAATTTACGTTTCACATGTTTTTATTCCTTTTCTTTTTCCTTCTGACTATTAATATAGATTTTGACTCAATTTTTAATTTTATTCAAACAAGAGAGAAAGTATGGTACTATCTTTTTTATTATTATTATAAAAAATTGAGTGAGGTATTTTTTAAGATTTTAACATAAAGCACAATTAATTTTAAGAATAAATAAAAAATAAAAAAAATCAGTGCCCCCTCTAGTCCCTTAATAGGTCAATGCCAGTGGACAAGGTGGTCATGAGCTATTTATACCCAGTGTTTGAATTGTGTTTCTGTTTCCAAATTCTAAGGAAGCTCACTTATTTTTCTTTCCATTTACAACATCATTAAATTCTTTAACTAGTTAGCATGAATTTTTCAGGTAACAATTTATCAAAAGAGATTTATGAGAAATATTTTTACACTAAATTTGTTACAAGTCCATGTTAAAAAAAAAAAAAAAAAAAAAAAATCAATTAATTATGGTAATTAATATATTAAACAACAACTGATATCTAATATATCAATTATATGGAAAAACAACGTATACTTTGGTTTTTCCCATTCATTTGCTGAGATCCTAAAATGAACAAGTATATAATATACATGTATAAAACATATACATGTACACATAAAATATACATGAATAAGGTGTACACAAGTGCATACAAAATAATTTGAGGGGACAGTCTAGACAAATAAGTCATAACATAAAATTATTCGTCAAATGAATTGAGGTTGTATTCAGTTGCATTGAATTAAAATTTCGGAATTAGAATTTGTGAAATTGAAGATAAATACAAAATTGAACCAAAATTTTCTCTAATTCCAAAGCTCCAATTCTATGCAGCCCAACACAGTCCGAAAAAATTTACTGAAAGTGATTTTCAATCAATTTCCCTTACGTGCAGGATTATAGCCATGACCATCTCTACTCCCTTTCACTTTTAAAAACAACAAACATTCTACTTATATAATGTTTGAGTTAATCAATAACCTATTCCAATTTAAATCAGCCCCAAGGCATAATTTTTAAAGTGTTAAAATTCTATATTTGATAAATTATTCACATAAATCAACCATGGGTCTCACTATACAGTATAGACTCTCCCAATGTCTAGTATCGCACATTCATGAGAGGGAACATCTTGGTGAGAAATTATTAGTTGCTTTCGGTCAACCTACACTTGACACCTGTGACAAAATTTACTTCCACTCTCCAATCCAAAACTGGGAGGCTCTGATCCAACATATCAACTGCACTTGGAAGTCTAACTCACCTACTAATCAGCTCCGCAAGATTGGTCTATCAGC